AGACAAACGGCAGCGATCAAGACAAGCTTTGTCAGCTTGCATTTTAATCGGAGACTCATTCAGCCTAATTCATTCGAGGAACTTACGACTTTTTGTGAAATCCGATTATACCGAGAGTCCTTTGCATCTTGCATCGCACCTTTTGTTTTTAGAGTGATGGATGCATTCGGTCGGCAGTGGTCTTACAAGCCCCTTTCTATGGGCGCAGCATAATCTGGTTATCAATACGCTTATCAGATGCAAAAAAATAAAAATTAACAAATAAAACAAACAAGCAATCGAGCAAACAAACAAACAAACAAACAAACAAACAAACAAACAAACAAACAAACAAACAAACACACACAAACTCGCAAAGACATTTATTCCTTTCGAGGTCTTCTGAGCTTGAAATATTTTACTTGCAAAATTTGTGAAATGGGTAAGAACATACCTAAAGCTCCAAAACTTATTATTCCATAGCATTAGCTCTTCTCGATATGTCATTCAATTCTGCTTATTGGCATGCAAGTGAACTCTCGCTTTTAAAGCGGTCAATGTTTCTTTTTCGTAAAAGGTAACCTCTTGATCCTGCAATGATTCCGGTGCTGTTACTGTTAGCACGCGATTTAATGGTTAACAGGGTCATATTTTTATGGTTGAAATCTAATAAGTCGGTCAGAGCAAGGGCAGATCACCAACTGCGATTTGATGTTCACACCTAATCTAAACATAGACAGGTCTCCAGAGTATTGTGTTGCCATTCTCTGGGATGGACATGTTATACCGATTGTGTAAAAAAGTGATGTCTTGTCTTATTCTTAAAGTGACCATCCCACCTTAACATTAGTTTTGAGTTGAGATAGCCAAATTGGTGGCCATGGCCTGCAAATACCGGTTTGGGCACTCACAAGATCGAAAAATGCTTTAATTCGGAGATATGGAATTTCAAACTTGTTTTCGGATTCTAAGGGGCTAATGCATTGGGATGCCCCCTTAGAATTTGTGACGTCAGCGGTGATCTAACGATTTTAAAACCTTATACTAACATCTTTGTGAAGCAGTGGTGGTATGGTATATGCTATTTGCGCGCAACATCTGCCGCAAACACCGCACTTCCAAAATGAAGTCGCTAGAAACAGCGGAGATATACTTCATAGACTTCATTGATTCCGTAGAGCTTCATAGTATCACTTCATCTCCCAATAACAAAAATAATATTTCTTTTGATCTTGCACTCAACAATTACCAACTCAAGACGAATGTTCTTGGAGCGCTCAGACCTTATCACAGTTTTTGTCAAACTGTGGCAACTTATCGAATTACTTTTAATCGACAGCAATATGACGTACGTAACGAGACGAATAACCCAGGTCGTTGCCATACTCTGATCAAATTCTTGGCAAATCTCTCGCCGCTGACTTCTGCATGGTCGGCTCCTCTGGCGAATGACGATATCATTTGAGATTCTGGCTGCCGTCCTCTGCTCCGGCGATCGATCCTCCGCGCTCTGCCGTCGCCGCTCCGCGCTCTGCCGTCGGTGACGTCGGCGACCCGACACAGTCGCCGCCGGCGGCCCGTCGTCGTGACCGGCCGAGCGGCAGCAGGGGTCGCATGCCGACGCAACGACGTGCGGCGACTACCCCGAGACGGGCTCTGGACGGGATGGAGGGGATAGAGGGGTTGCGGCGGCGAGATAAAAGGGGTGGGAGGTGTAGCTGATGAAAAGAGAAGGAGAATGGATAGGCTATCACGCGCCGTGCTGGTGGTCTGAGCTTTCCAGGTCCTGCTGGGGGGGGGGGGGGGGGGAGACGCCCCTCCCCCATATAAGTCGGCTCCTGGGCCACGTAGCGACACGCGGTGAGCGACAGGCATTCGAACGATCGTCAAAATTAATGAGAAAACATTGTCATTTTTAGGTCAGGTCAAAGGTCAGGTCACCAGAGGTAATTAAAGGTCAAATTTTGCCTAGTTAAATATTTTTGACAAACCGGCGCATACCACGGGAACCAGTAGAGCTATAGCGCCGCGGAAAAGCGCATTCGATAACTGTTATAACGTTCTTTCCCTGACATGACCTTAGATGTTATCTGAAGTCAACGGCTTAGCCTCTAAAAGGTATAAGTTCTAAAAATGCTTTTCTTACACAAAATGTTTTTCGGTAATAAGCTTTGACTGAAGAAAGGCACTACACTTACTCTGCCAACATCATGTTCCTCTCGTCGAGACGCGTCGAATAAAATATAATTTGACCTTGAAAGGTCATTTTGAAAATTTGACCTCAGTCGCAAGGTGACCTGACCGCAAAAGGTCATATTGCATCAGTTGATCCGTATCGTCGAGCTGAATGTCACCCTGTCGATTACGATTATTCTGCTAATCCTGCTGAACCAGCCAGCACTCTACAATATTCTCCCGGTGGATCTCTTTTAGAAGCGATGTCGGCGCATGAATAATGGATATGCTCTTACGTGATAGATCCCCTAAACTTTTGGCAATGGTCCTGCATTGATGGCAGTTCTGGTATCGGCCGGTACGTGCAGCGCCTCTCGCCAATCGCGGCCCCGTCAGGTGAGGTGGCCGGTCCAGGAAGGGCCCCGTACCAGTGGCCTTGGCTTTCGACGGTGTGCCATACTGACCGGTGCTTGAGCTCAGTTGTCGCGCTGGAGCTCAGTTGTGGCTCGGACAGGGCGGCGATGCGGATCGCATCGTGCCCACTGCCCAGTGACCGAAGTGGTACCCATGGACCGAAATAGTGGTGGCAGTGAGAGTGACCGATAGTGCGGTACATACTCAGGGACCAAATGCGAGAGCGTGACGTCCAGTGACCGTTTGAGTGGTGCCGCCAGTGAACGTCCACGAGTGACCGGGTCACTGCCGTATTTTTAGCACGCGTTGAGCTCATCCAACGCGTCCAAATGGGTCCGTACGCAGAGTTCCTTCTGTGGGGATTTGCCCAGGCGCGAAGTACTGCGAAACAGCGAGGCGATGACCGTCGGCAAGGCACGAGCAACCGCTATGGATACGAACCTCTCCTATGTGAGTGTTTCCGGTGGTATGGATATGAGCCTCTCCCATATTGTGAGTGTTCCAGCCGCTATGGATATGAGCCCCTCCTTTGCGAGTGTTACAGACGGTATGGGTACGAGCCTTTCCTCTGTTAGTGTTACAGAGACGGTACTTCCGGTCCGGTATAAGGGCTGCTGTTTCTTTACAGAAAGTCCTATTTAGAAATGAATAATTGAACAAATAGTTGCGAAATACGAGCTTTTTTCCTGGAATTCGCAGCCTGTTTTATATTTACTCAATAACCGAGTGCTAGAAATACGGAAAAATATACATTGCCTTCCGAGCGCATCGAAATTTTATTTTATTGCTAGATTTTAGTGCCCATACGACATGCGTGCATGCATATTTCCTTGGCACAACGGATGCTGTATACCCCCGTTGTGTGGCGTGTTCCCAGAATACCTACATCTCGACAGGCGGATGTGCCTTTTATTGAGGTTCGTTGAATTCTTTCATTGAGTTAGAGCCAACACAGTTTTAACAGGCACATCTATCTATAGTCCCCAGCCTGCCTCGCACAGACGATTGATTGGTCGCCATTTAGCAGCTTGATCGCTAGTTTCAAAGTTGTTACCGTTTGGTTATACGACTTACGTGTATTTCATACCGTCGCCTATCAATCCATTGCTGCTATTCTATATCATTGGATCTCCAGACTTTTTGCTGTGACCTTCGTCTGAAGGGCTCTCTAGTAAATGCCTTTCAACAACAGAAATACAATTTAATGTATCAAGCGTAATATCATCAAGCGCGAAGTGTCAACTAATGAATTTGTGTTTTGTGTTATCAGTGTTTATAAGTCCTTGCGATAAAGAAAATCAAATAAAAAATTAATAGTTTTTCGCATTGGGAAAATATTGCTGATGCATGTAGCCGAGGCACAAATAGAGCAGGTGTACCTCTAAAGGTAAGGTGCGGCGGCACGCGTTTAATTCTCGAGTGACGTCTCTGTTACCGGCGCGCGGAGGCCGCTCGATAAATGCTCACACTCGGCAAATACGATTGACATGTTGCCTCGACCGATCGTCAGAGCGCCGCACCGCTCGCCGGCAATTCAGTAATAGTGCGGCTCCTCGTGCATCACGTGCTTCGGTGCTGAAGCTCTTGAGATAGTTTTGACTTATTCAATTTGCCGATGCATGAGTTTTACTGTCTGTCTTGTTTCGGTAGAAATAATAATTTATTTCTGTATTTCTTCTTCCGCCCTCGAACGACCATAAAGGTATGGACGACACTGACAGCGGGAATCGCTATGCTTCGGAGAAATCTGGGATTAATTGGCAGTTCCTTACATCATGTTAGGCATGCATTCTATTATACTTACCTTATGTGATTACTCGTACGTTAACCATAAGGAGCCCAGTGGTACTCGAACTCAAGCAATTAAAGCGAACAGAGTAAAGCGTGATTAAAATGTTGACGGAGTGTTTTCTTCCACTGCCGGTGCTCTCACGTTTCCCTCTGCGATCCGTGATGATGTCTCTATCTCGTTTCTGTCCCGTCCTCTCCTGTTTCTGCCCTTTCTAATCGTGGCATCATTCCACATGTTTGTGGCCCTCCTTCGGAACAACCATTTCATTCCTCGCTCCTGTTTGTCTCAGCATTTACGTGAGACGTTGTGGCGCTGCGGTTCCTTATCCAATGCATGTCCATTGTCCCCTGTGGGACTCTGATGTCCCCCCCCCCCCCCAAGATCTCGCATGTCTCGATGGCACCCAAAAGCCTGAGACTCCATTGCCTCAGCTTGGACTTACGTGCCCCTCAGTGTTGACACTCTGGCACCCCATATTCCATATGCTCGCCCTGACCTGCCTTTACCCCACGTCTCTTCCTTGTGGATTGTGGAACTCTGAGTCTGTCCACCGACCGCTGCGCTAAATCGACTCGACCCCCGGCGCAGTCGTGCGAGCCGCGCTGGTGGCAGCGCCGGAGAGCGGCGGCTCGACCTCTCCCAGTCGACCGCCGTGCTCGGGCACGGCCGGAGCACGGCTCGGGAACGGCCGGAGCACGGCCACTGGGAGCGGAGGGTGGCCGCGGGGACTGGAGGCCGATCAGAGGGACTGGAGGGCGGCAGGAGCGACCGGTGCGTCACAGGGAAGCTAAACCATCGGTAAATCATCGGCGACCGGCGTCAGCTAAACCACGGTCAGAGCAAAGTCAAAATACGGTAAGGGAACGTTGAGAACACAGCAAGAAAATGGCCAGAACACGTAAGAGAACGGTCAGCTTATAACAAGAACGGTCAGAGCGCGGCACAGGACGACTTGTTGTTGCCTCAGGACGGCAAACTGACGGTTACATCGGGCTACATATAAAATAAAGGAAGGAAGAGCCTGTGACTGTGGAAGAGCTTAGTGCTGCGGGGGACGGACGTGTGCCTAACAGCTGACTCAGCTGAAAACTTGATACAGAGCCTCACAGCTCGGTTCACAAAAGCTGCAGAGAAGCAGGCACAAAATGTGCTCCCAACGGAAGGATGACCTGTTGGCCGGTGATTGGTGCGTGGAGTGGTGACACTATGTTAATTGGGTGATCGAGGCGGCCGCCGACCCTGTGATTGAACAGTGCCTGTGACGGGTCACATTAACAATGGAGCCTCAGCACGACCCAGCCGCGGCTGTGGCCGGTGCTCCTACCCGCCCTCAGCGACCAGCCCAGCCCCCTACACAGCCCCCATCCCAGCCCTCAGCCCAGGCCCCGGACCAGCCCCCAGCCACGGCCCGGAAGGCCAGCCGACCGCCCCTGGACTATGACCAAGTGCCGTACTCACGAAAACCTCACGAAGTTAGTGTGTTCATCGTGCCAGGTGAGCAGAGGACCAGGGGTAAAGTGATGCTGATTTTGCTTCCAGCTGCTCGCTGCTCCTTATTATATCCCTCATTATTACTCTCTCTTTTGGGTCGCTGTTGCATTTCCTGAATCATTTTCTCGTTTTGCTTCTATGGGCGTAATAAAGTAGTTTATATGTGATATTTTTATTTTTTCATTCATTGCATTATCACATAGAACAGATAAGAACATTACGGTGGTACATGACACCTGAGGGTTACGATACGATCTGGGCGCGGCGGTCTCGTGTGGGACCGGCGTCTGGTCCCACACGACCGGCGCCGCACGTCCCACACGCCAGTCCCCGTAAAAAGCCTCGTTACAACGAAGAAACATTAGACAGGGGAAACAAAACTCGACCATTACACGTCCCCGACGCGATCGTTACTCATGATTCATGTGAGAGGATTTTGATCATTTTTTAGGTTGCTTCCTAATGATTATTAAATTCTTCAACTCTGCTGTTGATTTTATAAACACATTCTTGCACGTTTTGAAATTGTCGTAAATGAGTCAGGTATGAACGCATCGTAAGCATGCTCTCATTCCTACTTTGTTTCCAAATAAACCATTTGGCCAGGAGCAAGAACAGATTGAAGTCTTGGGCTTTATATGTGATAATGGGCTCAACATATGACGACTTTAAATATTAACTGAGAAAAATGAATTTAAAATTTATGTCTTAAAGAACAATTAGCTACTTCTTGTCTGATTTTGGGCAAAATATGCTTCCTTGAAGGGTATTTTACAAAGAAAACTGTCATATTTTCTAGAGGAGACACGCGCTGACAAAGAGTTGTTGCAGTCTCCTTTAACTTCCCAGGGCGGATTGCGCACAAGTATGATATAGCATGTGTTTACGAATTTCATTCAATCGCTCAGCGTATGCCATGGAGAAAGTGCACTACCATCGCTCAGCTGATCTAGACGGTAGTTCCCTCCCTCTCCGATCCTTGAACTCGGGAGGTGGAATAGGACGTCCGCCGTTCAGCCTTGAACTGCGTGAGACGCCTAGCGGGTCGGGTCGGCGTCTATTTATAGCTCGCCGCCGGCCAGGTAGACAAAAACGGGAGTGGGCTGGAACCTCGGCGACACAGGTGCTCCATTCCTGTTTGGTAGCCATGAGGCGAGCGCGACCCTGGCCTCGCCCAGGGAGCGAACGCACGAGGGCGGGCCACTCAGTGTTTGTGTGTGTGTGTGTGAGGAGGTGTGAATGGCGGCCGCTGGTCGGTACCAATCACAGAAAGATGCGGTTGATTGGATTTGTACTTGTAAGTTGTAAACATGCTGGTGCATGATTAACTTTAATATTTTAGATATTCAGTCAGCAAATTTTATGAGCTTACGACAGCAACAAAGTAATTTTTTGATATTAATTTTGTAGTTTTGTGATAATTTTATGAACTTACGATAACAAGAGTGCAATTCGGTTTTTGGTAATTTTCCCGCTTTGCTGTACTCGACACCTCTTAACCCGCGCATGACTGGGGTATTTTCCATAACGCGAGTGACGGGGGGGGGGGGCTCTCCAGAGCCCCCCTCCTATCTCCGAAACTACTGGGCCGATCGTGAAAATTTAAACGGCGTCTGATAGCCCTGGAAAAACTGTGAAACGAAACCTATTATAACTGGCGTTATCTTTAGTTAATCCCGTAACGCTTCGGCATCGTATGCTCCATAGCATACTCATGTGTTGGCTGTTTATCGGCCGGCCGTCTCTCTCTCCCTTATATCCTATTCACCTTCCAGGCGAAGAGAGAGGAGACGGTCGACGAGGTAAGGAAATGAAGGTAAGTAAAACCAACGCAGATGGTTGGAGGGGTGGGTGGAGGAAAACGTGCTCGGCAGCGACCGCTGCTGGTTCGCTTCACTCGCCCGGGCCGCGTTGAGTGGACCTCAGCCGTCCCGCTCACGGCGGCCCGCTGGTGACGTCACGAACCCTCCGGCGAGGTCAGGTCGGAACACCGCTCGACAGGCCGGCCGGCGCGGCTCTAGAGACCAACCACGGATCAGTTGGTGACATACCAGGGAAATAAGCTAAAATTAGAGCGCTCTATTTATTGCTCCTGCCCCATGTTGAAGAGATACCCCTAAAAGCGTGATCTTTTATCGGCCCTTACGCAGCAAGGCAGTAATTCTCAGACCGGTGGATGGTATCAATAGAAAGAGAATGCGTCAAAGATTAACATGAATTAATTAAAATAACATTAAAATGTTAATTAAGCGTGGAAATTAGTCCCAAACATAAGCTAATTATTGCTCCTACCTCGGCGACGGCGCTCCCCGCAGTCGGCGGAGAAGCTAAAATAAAAGCCACCATCCTCCTCCGTAAGTCAATTTTAGAGCGGCCGAGTGGGCCGATGCGGGGCCACCAAACTGAGGTGAGACGTGGCTAGTAATTGCAAACCGCCATAGAAATCAATATCTTAAAGACGTACAATATGGGATGATTACTCTGAAGCTGGAGTGAAAGCATGAGTAGATTGCAAGAAACGAAATGCATAGATTGGTTGAATTATGTACAATAGGCACAACTCAGATGAAGCCATTTCTATGATGTTGACATATGACATAACCCTTCCTCTCCTCACCTATGACCTAAGTGCATTGGCAGTTACTGGCATAGTTTTTGAGCACGAGTGTAATTCGCCATCGGACCGCAATACATGTTGCTAGGCTGCTGCAATTACAACGAACATACGAATACTGCCTTCATTTGTAGACGTTTGTTTTTTAGGCGGTCTTTGACGTGCAAGGGGGCATACCTGTCGACAACTTGAGTTTCTCCGAATTTCAAAAACTCCCAGAATTTCAATTCCTTATGCACTGTTGTAGGTACAGCTATGTTCACAAGTTTTCGTTTCCTCCTGTTCTAAAAAGGATGATATTTGTCGATTTCGTGCGTCGCTGATAGGAGGGTGCGTTTAATAATAAGGCCCAACGCTTTCTGCATCCGCGAGTACCTTTAAAAGGGAACAACAGTTCCCATTTATTACACTATGGGACATGTGACAAAATGACTACTGGAACACGCATGAAACGGAGCTCATATTCCTAAAAATGTCTACAATCACTTCTTTTCTGACACTATTAGCAAATACCATCTCAAGCTAGGTGGTTGACAGACAGTCAATGGAGATCTGGGGAGACTGAGTGATGCCAAAGTCACCACTTAACTGATAATGAGGGCCGAGGGAAGAGAAACATGCAACATGCACAACTGACAACTTGACAAGTGACAAAACACTACCACTATTGCGCAGTGCACAACAAATTACAGCAGCCAGCCCAAAAATGCTTTTGGTGGCTAATTGCAAAACAAGTCACTAATAAATGTCTTAGTTGCAGCTGAACACTGCACAATAATCACACTGTTCACACATTGAGTGAGATGCCACAGGTGGTTTGAATCACACTTTGGTTCAACTGCAAATCTGAAGTGTTGTCATGAGGTTCATGCCTCCATGATCACAGCACTGTGGTTGTGGTTGGCATAACACTTGTAGTCTGCAGAGTTCCACATGAACTGCAGACACCTCATCTGGTGGTCTTCATGTTGCTCAACTTCTTCAGGAGGCAAATGTCGACCACCCAGCGGAAGCATGGTCCTGCAGAAAAGAAAGGTAATGCATAAGGTACAAACATTATCTGCTGAAACAGCTCCTTCTGTTGGCTGTTATTAAACTTTTAAGTTTTTAACATAGGTAACATAACATGTATTCCATGTATATTACATTTGTTGAAGTAAAATACTGCCGGCTATTTCAAAACCAGAAAATGAAATTATATTGTGGCATAATTCACATGCTCAGCTATCAGTATCAAATAATAATTAATTTAATATTTGGCATATTATATATAACACATTCATAGAATAGGTATTCTACTTCACGTCACAAGGACTCACAATCTTTCTGTTAGGTGTTTGATATACGCATTAACTAAGTTTGTCTTAGGTTTTATTATTGCAAAAAATTCATATTTCATTATTGTATCAAAATACTGCCAGCAATAACAAAACAAGAACATGAAATGCCAATGAGCAAGCCACCTTTCCTTAAAATGGGTTACTTTGAAAGGAATTTTAGTTTCTTTTCAGGAAAAGGAGAAATGATTATCCGGTAATTATCAGAAAACCATTCAACCAGCAAGTGGCTGGGTGGTTTCACAGCAAACATCAAGCCAAAACATAACTTACATCTATCTAACTATTGAGCCATTTGACTACTACAAGGATATGTGAGCAAAATAGGAATCCAATTATCCAATGTTGACTTCCTTGCAAAGTTTATGCCTTATTTTATGAAAATGTGTCACTAGAATATGATACTTATCATCGAATATTATTTAATTTACGATTTATTTCGATCGGAATGCACATGGAGTCCCGCGCCATTTTCGTCGACGATAAATATGATCGTGTTTCTGAAGAGATAAGGGGTTTCAATGGTCTTTCAAAGCAATAATTTGATGCAAAAATTTGTAGGAAATAATATGAAGCTGGTTCAAATGGCCATCAACCATTTAAAACACCGAAAATACTCACAACTCCGTCCCGACCACCGCGCAGCACCGCGCACGCCACACTACTGGCACAATGCCAAAACTGCTGTCACAGCGGAAATGTTTTTTTTTCTCGATTGCAATTGTGGAATTATTTATTAAACAGAAGATGATCTTTCCGAAAAACCGACTGATTTCATACACAGATGCATGGAAAATAAAAAATCCCGGTAAATTTATTTGTATTGTTTTGGCGATTTTGACATGCTCCTAGTTTGCAGCCATATTTCGATATGTTCTACAGGGAGTTCAGAATTATTTCAGGACCAATCTTTTCCTCATTCATTTTCCCGTCGATCATGAAATTTTTAGAGCGGAACAATTGGTTTCCAGGCGGTCCGAGCGGTTTTCGTGAGAAGGGTGCAAAAATCGGCGTCATTTTTAGAGCCTCGACACCAGCTCAACACAGGACCCTATGGGAGACGGTGAAGTAGCGGAAGCAATAAATAGAGCGCTCTAATTTTAGCTTATTTCCCTGGTGTGTCACCGACTGGGATACGCGTTTGAGCAAGGATGCGGCGTTACCATTAACTGGCATTTATTGACCTCGAGGTCACCGATGACGTCACAGGTCAGGTCAAAGTAAAAATTATCGACATTTTTGCTAGTTCACAATTTAGGCTCTGACAGCCGGACCGCCGGTCCGATCAGGCTCATTTTTGGTTTACGCACTCCTTGACGGATGCCTTAGATACCCTGAGGGTACCGAACTTTTACTTCGAATTTTTAAGGTCAAGGCCAGGTCATCCTAGGTCACGAAAATTGTATATCATGTATCGGTCACGTGACGCATGTTTTATGGTCCATTTTACTCGTAGATTTCGAAAATAGTGTCGTCTGTGTCATTTGAGGTCATTGTCAGCTGAATTTACCGGAGGTCAGGTCACTTTCGGGTCAGAAAAGGTCAAATTTTGAAAATGAAATTTTTCAACAAAAAAGGTGCCTATCAGATGCAGTTGGAGCTCAGGAACACGATGGTGCCATTTATATTGCTGTATGACGTCCAAAACGTACTGAAAAATGGATTTGAAAAAAACATAAAATTGTAAAATTTTGACAATAATGCGAATAACTTGGCTATTTTTGAAGACATGAAGCTGAAACTTGCAAAGGTAGTTCATCAGTGTGTGTTCTATCACATATATTCCGGTTTTTGCGAAAAGCCAAAAACTTTTTGAAAAAATCAAAAAATATATTTTTTGTAATTGTAAATACATATTTTTCAAAAAATTTCAAAATTTCGAAAATTCGAGATAGCAGTTTGATAGCTACGTGTATTTGTAGTCCACTCATGCAAAGAAAATGGATCTAGCTTTAAAACTGAGCTCTTGAGAGCGTTTGCCGTAATTCAGTATTTTGCATGAAAATCGGCCCACATGACGTCACTCTGACGTCATTTCCGGCCAAACTATAGTAGCTAGAAAGTTGAAATTTTACCACAAGGTGTCAAATTGATGCCTCTGAGGGTACCGCAAGTTTCGTGTTGATCCGTCAAACGGTTTATAAAATATTGCTGAAAACGGGAGGGGGCTCTGTAGAGCCCCCCCCAGTCATGCGCGGGCTAAAAAATATAAATAACAAGCAAACGTAGTGTAATAAAGTGTATAAATAGCCCGGAAAGACATATTTTAGATAATCTATAGATAATTTAAAAAAGGGGTTACATAAGCGTGCTATGCTCTCGAAAACATGAAACTCATTGCATTTCTTTCATATCGCCTCTTGCTTCTTACATTCCTAGCTTAGGTATCTCGTTCTGGATCTACGAATTTCTTTGCCAAGATACGGCTCGTAGACGGTAAATGCAAACTGCAGTGCCCACGGACATCGTGGACCAATGGCATGCTGAATATGGCATTTACAAAGCCTTCCAAATCTCATGTGCTCGTATTGCCGTTTTCTATACCTACTTTTTGTTGAATGTTGGGTAGCGTTTAGGGCGGCTAAAGAGCTGTTTGCATTATGCAACTTAAAACCAAATGCTCCATTTGGGAACAATCGGATGCCATTAGAAGTAAAAGACTCCGCCACGCTGTCACGCACGATACCTGTAAGTCATAAGGACATAACGACATATCACTGTATGACTTATGACCTACATTACATATGACTTTGCCATCAAATCGTCACTACCATCCCATTCAGCGCGACCACTGGTCGCCCTGATGCTTACCAACACAGCCCTGGTTGTTATCGCTCACCCATATCGTGTGCCTCCCGACCTCTGCTGCCGACGCCGGCCGGTCCTGTCTGGGTACGGTTATGCAACCACCTGTGTTACATGATCATTGGTCACGAGTGGTGGCTGGCACGGCCATTCTGCTGTCCGCCTGGCGGTCACGCCGGGCCCCCTGACCCTGACGGGGACGGAGGCTGACCCCCCCTCTCCCCTCCCTCCGTCCACAGCCGAGAGGAGGGTGCAGTTCTGGTCCATGTTCCTCAAGAACTGGCACGTCACCATCACCTACTGCTTCGTCTTCTGGTCGTTCGGCATGTGCGTGGCCTTCCTCGGACCCACGCTGGGGGATCTCGGTGAGTGGCCAGCACCGAGCGATGACGGGAAAATGGCGAATGGAAATTGTCACGAAACTTAATTCTGGATGCAAATGATAATGAAGCTGGCCATAGACTTTTGTAAACGGACTACGGAGGGCTTATCAAGTGGCCCATACCTGCTGGCGATAGAAAAAAAAGGCTGTTTAGGCTCATAATTAGTTTTGTGAGCTCAAGCTTTTGACAGCATTATGCAGATGAAACGTTTCTAATTTTTTTTCAAAATAATTACCCATTAAGTTGTTTAAGATATCAATTAAAGCAATTATGCTTCAAAAATTGGGTAAATCCAGCACCATAGCTTTGTAGGTATTTAATTCGGCGCACTAGCGTTACACCTCGACGCACCTGACGGGTTATTTTACACCGACAGGCTGTCAGACGGAGACGCCGTTCGCCACCATGAGCTGGGTGTTCTTCGCTCAGGCTCTGTTCACTCTGCTGGGCTCCATCGTGGGCGGCGTCCTCGTACAAAGGTGAGTTCACAGCCTGACCGAGTTCAATACGCAGACTGACAGTCCTTACAGAGCCGGGTAGGGCTACGGGCGGTAGCAACACTCGCGTGTGAAAACGGAAACCGGTAACCGTTTTTAGGCGGGGATTCGAGGAAAGCGGGTTTCATAATATTGGTACGTTCGTCGTTCATGTCACTCGATAAATCTCGTTCCTTGTGGCCCTACTCGGCGGATAGCTCCCTCGGTTTCCGTGTGTCCTTGTAATCCTGATAATCGGATAAATGTCCAGACTTGATGAGTCTTATCATTCGACGTGACATTTTGAGACGCAGTAGATTTATGTAAAAGTTTGATTACTAATTTATCGATTCTCCCAAATGAACTAAACCAGTTAGGCACCAGATGCTGATCAGCTGATCATGGGCACACCGAAGCCTGCTGGCACTCGGGTCCGGCTGCATACACAATCTCGCAATCCACTGCTCCGTCTGGCCCTCGCCCGTCCCCTCTGCGCGAGTCGCACCCCAACGCAGTCCCGTTCATCCCTCACAGACATCGCTGCCCCGTCCATCCCTTCTAGACACCGGATACTCCCGCCCCAGGCGGAAGGAAGGCGGGTCCCCACACAATCCGAACCCCTCCCTCCCTCCGCCCCCTCACACACAGGCCCGACCTTCCCTCTCCCTCTCCCCCCCCCACACACAGGTCCAGCCTCCCTCCCCCTCCCCACACACACACACGCTCGCCAGGCTCGGTCTCTCGGGAGTGCCGGAAGGCCCAGGTTCAGAGACCAAACTGCAGGCTGTCTCAGCCGGTCAAAGCCGAGATGACACGCGGGATATGATCAAACATTCTACTCAGTCCTGGCTTTTGTATGATTAAAGTTAAAGGGACCCTCCCACCTTAACATTAGTTTTGAGTTGAGATAGCCATATTGGTGGCCATGGCCTGAAAATACCGGTTTGGGCATTCACAACATCGAAAAATGCTTTAATTCGGAGATATGTAATTTCAAACTTGCAGTTTTCGGATTCTAAGGGGCTAATGCATTGGTATGCCCCCTTAGAATTTGTGACGTCAGCGGAGATCTAACGATTTTTAAATCTTTTACTAAAACGTTTGGCAGCACGCGGTGGTATATGCTGCTTTGCGCGCAACAAATGCCGCACTTTCAAATAAAGTCGCTAGGAACAGCGGAGATCCCAAAAAGTAAACAAAAGTAAAAGTCTAATATCTTGAAAAACGGTGAATATTTTTCGATGAAATTTGGTAGATATTCATTTTTGCTCTTTCTGAACCGAGCGACATCACTTTCATGCCAATTCATTAACTTTTTTGAAGGTGGGAGGGTCCCTTTAAGTCCATAGTGCCGCACGTTAAGGCTGTAGAATTTGACTGTGTAGTTCCTGTGCATTAGTTGGATGAATATTTTGCTGACTTCATGTAAAAGGCATATTTGCTTATTGTAATGTATCTTGTTTATAATACATGCGATTTTTATTTTTGTAATGCGCTAACACTCACACATTTGGTTGATGGATGGAAAACATGCTTTCATTGTTGCCCTGACTGTTGCATTGTACCTACCTTCACTTATAGAGCGCTAGGCTGCTTAGTGCTTAGTGTGTTGTAGCTAGCTTATCACGTAAACATTTTCGTTGTTATTCGTACTGCCTCGTGCCTCCGAGCCACAGCAATGGGCACGTGTGTACGTTATTAGCTATGTATCCCCCTCACACTGTCTGTCTGCTGCCTCACTGCACTGTCGCGCGCTGCACCCCTCACCCCGCCCGGTGGTCTGTTTAAGAATCATGGACGGCAAGTCCATGCTGCCCGGTATGTCCTGTCTGCCGTTCTGTTCCGGCTCCGCCCACTGGAGGTGAGCTGTGACGTCAGCGTCACGTGACCGGCTGCCCGGGCATCGCCTCGGGGCAGGCCGCTGCCTGGGGCTCCGCGTCGGCGACTTTGGGTGAACGGCGCCAATGCACGCGGCGCTGAGAGTGGGGTGCTGTTTTGGGTTTGTTCGGTCGTCGTCGTCCAGATAAATTTCGGGGAGCTGAGTTGGCGTGTTTTGTGGATACCTTCTTAGGTCAACGAAACATCCTGGATTTTATATCGTGAACATTGGATACTAACACGCAAGCATGCAATCCATCTACATATAGGGCAAGAAAGAGACATAGTTTGCCGAGAGGACCGACTGTGGCTTGCGGATTCTGCTTCCGATGGCAGGAGAAGTCATGCATGGTCTAAATGGGCACTAATGGATTGATTCGATCAACTATAGCATCTGGCCAAAATGCTTGGAGGGTTACTTTACGCCATCGCGATGGCGTAAAGTTATGCTTCATAAGCTTCATTTTCCCACGATGCATCGTGGGAAAATGAAGAACTGCCAGCTATGATACGTAAGGGATAAGTTGAACCTATTGCGCGAGTTTTCGACTCCATTCTCTCCCATTGAACCTGCATGACGGACATTACACAATACACATTAGCATGGTTGTGTCTGCGAGACCGACCCATCTGGGAGCCAAGAGGTCGATATGGCGATCACATATCAACATCTGCAAGGGTAAAGACAAAGTTGGAAACCGAGACGATGCAGCGGTTAGCTTGCAATGGTAAGTAAATGCATTACCAGCCCAAAGATCCGCTTCCGCATGCTAAACCGGCACCAGTTTTGCCCGTGCATCATGCCATGAGTGTGTGCATTGTGCTTTTTGCAATGTGCTTCGTATGCATGTGCTGATATGCATTGCAGTGCTGTCGAGTTTTGTGTGTGAGCTGTTTTCGTGATCAGTGTCTGACTGAATTTGAATCTGCTGTGCAAGTATCCAATGTAGGTGCTCGAACGTCTATTTTGTGACAAATAGGCTCAGCAACGTCTAAACACACCGATACATGCGCACATAATTCGACGTTTGGTTTTGCGCACAACGAAATGCTCATTCCCTTTCGCTTGTCTTTGCTAGTCTCGTTGCCTTGATGTGTAGCGTGCTTAATTTGAGTTTCTCGTCTGCAGTATCCCCTATTCAGCTTTATCCATTGTTGCGCTCGCCATTACTCGTATATCAACCAGGATCTGATGATAAATAACTATGGAAATAGTTTGTCGGCGCCCAGCTGCCGCTGAGGTATGCGGTGTCGAGCCGCTGACGCTTACATGGTAACACGTCCACTCAGTGACGGGTGGCCGCATTGGGGCGGTGGTCGGCCGTCCCTCCCATGACCGGGCCAGTTCGATCCACCGACCCCGCTGCTCGAGAGGACGGGCAGCTCCAGTTTACTGCCCCGCTAACGTCTCTGTCTAGACTGGAGCCGAAATGTCAAATATTACTCAAAATGGGCCTCAGCGAACTAAGCTTTTAGTAATGCTACCGTACTTGTAATCATTTCCATCAAGAGGCCGTGATGCTTCTATTTCTAAGACGTAACTATACATAGTTCAGTTATATCGGTATTTACATTATTTATCTTTGCATTTAAAGCACTGAAAGACTGAACAGTTGTACCAGTCCCGATTGCCACCCCTGAGCCTCCACGCGGCCGGTCGTCTGTCGATCTCACGTCTCGGGACGGTGCAGAGGTCGAGAACTGCTGTGCGGTTCTCGGTGGACCAGTTGAAGGCTGGGCAGCTGACAGTCCCGGAAGTGTGAGGGCGGGTGACCAATGATCAAACCGGCCACGGTCTGGTCAATGTGAGACCCCGAACCCTGGGTTGGGTCAGCTGGAGACTGGGTGACGGGGAGACCCTGGGCTAGTTTGAGGCTGGGGACTGAGGAGGTTGAGCGGCTTGGGAAGGGGGGACCCTGGGCCGGTTTGAAGCTGGGTACTGCAGAGGCTGAGCGGCTGGGCCGGCTGGGGGCGGCTGGGAGGGCAGCTGGGGGGACCCTGGGCCGGTTTGAGGCTGGGACTGAGGCGGCTGGGCGGCTGGGGCGGCTGGGAGCGGCTGGAAGCGGCTGAGGAAGGGGGGAGATCCTGGGCTAGTTTGAGGCTGGGGACTGAGGAGTCTGGGCGGCTGGGGCGGCTGGGGAAGGGGGGGGGAGAAGGACCCTGGGCCGGTTGGAGGCTGGGGACTGCGGAGGCTGGGCGGCTGGGAGGGCGGCTGACCGTGCCGCCGCCCCCGTATTGATCCGCCCACTCGCCTCCCGCGGCCCGGGCCAGTCCCAGCCGGAGCGGCTACACTTCCGCCGCCGGCCCGCCCACCCACGCCGCTCCCCGGCCGACGAAAAGCGGCCAAATCCTCCGCCCGTCGGCCGGCCATCCGCGCCAGGGCCACTCGGTCACCAGCAGTCCGGGGAGTTCGAGCTGCTTGCAGATGCAGCCGCCTGAGCTCGACGGCGACGGTAGCTGGCTCAGTTACAAAAAGAGGGGCTTCCCGGGCTTTGCAAATTCATGAACTGATCAGGCTAAAATAAGGCCGTGAGAGGGAATTTTACAGCGGTCCCAGCCGCCGCACTGTTTAGTGTTGAAGACGCGGTACGCTGCTGTCAGAGTGTCTGATGTATACGTTACGGTTGTCAGCCGAGCAGCTGAGAGAATTGCCATGTCTCCGGATGTCCAGACGCCCGATTTCCGGGGGACGTGCCGGTTATGTCATCTGTCCAACAGCGGAACTGTTTGGAAATGTGCGTGCCGGCCGGGCCGGGCCGTGGCCCTGTCACACCCACATTAGTGGGCCCCTACCAGTAACGGGGAAGACCAAAGCCGTGCCTCATTTTCGGACAACACCGCCTGATGCATGAATCACCATCCTAAAGTGAACGTTTCAGGGGTTATCTCGTGCCATGTTGTCCGATATGACTCATCGCGCCAACCGCGGCTGCTATCGGCACATATTGGTGCTCTGCTGATCGGTCCGCCCGTCGCCGCCCTATCCGGCTGAATAAAACCCGAGAGCACCTGAATGAACCAGTGAATAGCCGCCCGACATTCAAACGGTGTAAACCTTACATGGAATGCGTATGGACTGTGTACACATGACCGTGTATATCACGGATTGCTGTGGCCTAACTGCGTAACTGAGTTTTGTTATTGCTCATGTGACGTTCCAAGCGCTGTTGACCTTCTGCAATGGTCGGCTAGCGTCCTGGCGCGGCTATAATCAGCAGCGTCTATAAGGCAGCTGCGGTCTGCCCGTGCCGCCAGCCGACACCATCAGTGCCCTGTCGGCTGTGATGGAACGGCTCTGAGGGGAGAGGGCCGCGGCGGTCCGAGGAGAGAGGAAGGGCAGTGGTCCGAGGGGGGAGAGAGGGCCGCGGGAGTCCGAGGGGAGGAGAGAGGTCTATGGTCCATAGAGGGGAGGGGAGAGGGGCGGCGGTCGACGGAGCAGCGGGTCAGTGGATCCGGCTCGAGCCGCCATTGCTTTTCCTCCCTTATCACAGCTTACTGCCGACTGTTGCAGCTCCATTTTCAGCCGGCATCCTGCATTAGCTGTTTGAGCCTCTTAGATCTGCGGAGCAAGGTTGTTGAGCATTGAGGCTTCCCATGTCTGAAGCGTGAAGACTAAAGAGTCATATGCGTGAAACGGCCACTTTCCCGCTGACTGCTCTCTTCTGATCGGGCCACTGCAGTCAGTCGCCCGTCCGTTTATTGTCGGGACGTCTCGGCCACCCCTCGCCTCTGTTCAAGACGTCAGCGACTCACTTCCCCGTATCTGTGCCCTATGATTAGGACCTCAGCAGCTAACCCTCCCGTCTGCCCCTGCCAGGACGTCGGCGCACGGCGCCATGTTGGTGTCACTGCTGATGCTGGCCGTCACGCTGGCCATGGTGCCACAGTGCTGGAGCCTCTCGATGCTGGCGCTGAACCTGGCCGCCATGGGACTCTTCATGGGTATCATCGACACCGTGGCCAACCTCTGCATGATCCAGCTCTACGGATCCAACGTGGCGCCCTTCCTGCAGGTGGGTGTTGGTCGGCTGAGGCCAGGGAGAGGAGGAGAGGATTAGTCACTGGTCAGCCCAGAGTACCTGCTGGTCTGAAGGGGGCGGAAAACGATACAGAGGGGCGGGTTGCGTTATGCAGAGGGGTCTTGTCGGTGGTGTTGTTGACAAAAGCGGTGCTGGTTGGTGAGAAGCGTGGGGGGGGGACTGTTGGTACTCTGTATCTATTGCCCTGCACGGTAAGCCTTTGAGTGTTCATTAATATGCATCTCGAGTACCGCTATGCCCGCGAAGCACAGGCAGTGAGGCGTCATTTACCCGCTTGGTATTCTGGGCTGCTGCAATATCCAACCTACCCCAACAAAGTGTTACTTTACGGCGTAATGAATAGAAGAGCGCTCTTACATTCTCGTTTATAAGACGATGAGTCGGTAGTCGGGCTGAATTATATCTCCTGTCATCATTATGCGCCTCAGGGGTCGGGACTCATCGCCGGCCATCATTCACTGGGTGATTGTGGCGATCTGCGGCTCAGGATGATGACGGCAGTCTCACGTCATCGGCTCTCCGTCGACGCCGTCGGCGCTGCTCGGCAGAGCGTCCCATCAGCCCGAGGGACGCCCGGAGCCGCCCTAAGCCCCGCTGACGGTCGTGCCTCGTTCAGCCGCCGCGCTAAGCCTCCTCTGACTTCCAGCGCTCTGCTGGGGCTGACTATCAGTGCTCTGCTGGGACTGACTGCTGCAGTGTTCTGTAGTCGGGCTGACTGAGCCGAGAACCCTCTCGTCGATTTTCTCGTTAACTGACTTGCCTGGCACCAGCAACGGTTTCATTTTGTGTTACTTTAGTTCACCATGAGTTTTTTTTTTTTTTTGCATCGAGTAATAACCGTGGCTGAGCTTCGTATTCTCATCATTTCGTGACCTAACTCGGTTTTCTATTTCTATTAGTGTCCAAAATTTAAGCATTGAGTTGACAAGTCATGCAGCTATACTTTTTATTTCTCAACTTCCCTATCTCCTTCTTTTCTTCTCTCTAGCGCTCTGTTATCTCCTTTCTTGCTCTCTTCTCTCTTATCTCCACTCAGTTCTATTTTTCTCTTTCCCATCCGTCCCTCTCCCGGGCCTACATGATCATCATCCTGCCGTATTTCCACCCCAGATGCGCAGTATGTAGGTACGCTAGTGTAGGTCACACGAACATGAAGTGCCGCAGCCTGCTCAACTTCTCCGGGACGGAAGGGCTGAGTCCGTGAGTCGCGTGTCGCCGCTGCGGCGATAGCACGGCCGGGACATTAGTGGCGCACTAATCGGCCGCCGCGGCGACTGCGGCGCGTCAGTGACGAGTCGCAGGCGCGCTGCCGCCCCGCCGCCGCTCTTTGAGATCGATGGAGCGGACGGCTCAGAGGGCTCAGAGGCGCCGCGCGCGGCCGGCCGGCCAGTCTCCGCAGGCGGTGACACTAATGTCTCTATCGGCCCAGCCAGCGGCCATCGATCGGCTCAGTGGCTGCGCGATCAGCGAGCTCACTCAGCGTGAATGATGCCAGCGTGCGCGCTAAATTACTCCCGGGATGTCATCGGCCGCGACCCGTGCCAGTCAGCCCGCCTGCCATGGGGAGCGGGCACGGACGCTCCGCCGGCCATGGGTCGGTCTGGAGACTGGGGACGGAGAGGGGTTTCCTCATCATCCGCTGCAGTTACAAATGGTGCAGCGACACGAACTCCCGTCGTAAACTGAGGTTATATACGTCCCGTCACTTATCGTTGATGACAACTGAACGGTATACAGCTAGCAGCTGCATGCATGGTCAGTCACAATAAGGATGTTTTCGTCAGAGTTATTTCCGATGTCGCCGAGCAGCTAGTTGATGACGTCTGTCCCAGGGTCTCGATGCGCCCCATCCTCCTCTCTGAAGCATCCACGGGAGTGATATGTTGAGCGGAGTGACGGCAGCCGGACCCAGTACTCTGTTCGGGGCGTGTCACTGGAGTGGGGGTCGCTGTACGGCGTACGGAGACATGCCTCCGCCTCGACCAATCGCATTTGTTGCCGTGTTCGGTGGGCGGAGCTACAGGGGTAGCTCCGGGACAGTGTGATGTGACGTTGTTGCTCGAGCAGCGCGTATAAATAATGTGTTCGGGCGTGCGTAGTGTCGTGCCAGGTGGCCATATACCTATAGGAGGAGCGCGACGAAACTAATAAAGGTTTATTGCAGCACGTTCTCATTCGGAAACTGTTCTTTATTTAATTCTCCTGACTTACTGTGATCAGCAGGCTGAAGCTTGTTTGATTAATTTTGTTGATTGCTGGTTAAATACATTTGTTTATTATTTTATGTTATGCAGCATTTCGCTACCACCCACTAACACACAAATGTAGACACTGGTCCTTCATCACCTAGCGTCTGATTTCTCACAATCCCATTGACCTCCGGCCGTCTCGTGTCCTCAGGCGCTGCACTTTTTCTACGCGCTGGGGGCGTTCGCGTCTCCGATGATTAACGAGCCGTTCCTGCTGAAGAACCCGCACCACTGCTTCGCGCTCATCGACGACATTCTGCAGGCGCGCGGCAACTCCACCGAAAACGAAGCCGCCCTGCTTGAAATCCTGCAGCACTCCAAGATCCAGTACGGCTTCGAGATCATGGCGCTGCTCCAGGTAAATGCGACCGATGAACGCGAAATGGCATTCGACAAACTCGATTGCTTTTAACTTGATGTAGCTGTTTAGCGCGTGGTGCTATTTTTATACTTGAATTGGTCATAATCAGTACGGTTGCGGATGACCTATCATCTAGGTAACCTGGCAAAGCTATGACCTGACCTGACCTGATCTGACCTGACCTGACCTGACCCGCCCCCCCCCCCCCCGCCGCAGATTCCTGTGGCGATCCTGGTCATCACCGTGCTGCTGCGGAAGCGCAAGGGCTCCAGCTCGGAGACGTACGAGATTGACGAGAGCGGCGGCCTGACGGTCCACCACGTGCCGTCCGAGGGCGTCATCGACGACCACAACGCCGCCTCGACGCGCCAGGTGGCGCTGGTCACCATCTGCGCCATCGTGCTCTGCTTCATGTACGACGGACTGCAGGTGCGTGGAACAATAACACAGTGAAGTTTTTATATAATACAACATAATAGTCAAGTCATCTATTAGTCACGAATGTGCTCTCTTATTCCTTCAAGACTTGTGCATTTTGGGCTGGTCGCGTACGCTCTCGCTTAACTAACCCCGCCGTCGCCCTTGGCTGCCAGGGTGCCTACGGCGGCTACATCTACAGCTACGCCCGGAAGATGGTGTCGGGTCTGACGGCCACAGAGGGCGCCTACCTGACCTCCTGCTTCTGGGGCACGTTCGCCGTCGGCCGGCTGGTCTCCATTGGCGTGGCCACCAAACTCTCGCCGGCCTTCATGATCATGTTCAACATCGTGAGTAGAATAGGTCTCTCACATGGTGGGCTGATAGACAAATTAGCTTTATCGTTACATTTTTACAAATAAAAAACACAAGCACTGTATCTTATGACTGGTTAGGTACGTGACAACCAGTGCCTATCTACAACAATTTTGGGTGTTTCTTGCATTTTTATTGGCAGTTGCTCATATTTAGATTACATGAATTTTTATCATCTAAATGCGTAGTTGCACAGTTATGCAAAGCTGCAACTAAGCTATCTTGAATCTAAATTTCAACCCTACCGCCTGGATTTTTGGGGATAATGAGCTCCTCTCGCCATAATCCATCTGTTTTGGGCGAACATTGTCCGCATCAGCTCAAACGGTTTGCAAATTAAACGTAAGCTTCATGGCACTGTTTTTATGAGAAAAAAACGAAAGTTTAGACAGTTTGCTTGCGAAACACAGAAGATTTTTTACAGACATCAGCTGCCTGGTTGAAAGAGATAAATGTTACGAGCATGCATCAACAAACTCTTTGTTGATGCATCAGCTGAAACAACTTCAAAACCATTTATAACAAATTCCAGTGACCGTCTATCTTCGTGCTTCCCGACGAAAACCTTCTCCAGCTTATCAGGAAATCCTTTGGGTGAAGACGGCAACACGATGCTCCTTTAGATATCCATCAGCTGAATTGCCCAAAAGCCTTAGTGGCTGGCTGGGCGCAGCAGTCTGCACTGCCGTCGGCGCCTCTCCTCCTGGCCGCTGCCCGCTGCCCTCTGACTGCTGCCCTCCGACCGCTGACCCCGGGCTGACCTCTGAGAGGCGGGTTTTGCCGCGGGCAGTTCGGTCAGCGGAGTTCAGTCGTCTGGCGACCGGAGCGCTCTGTTACCGCGGATCGATGACCCGTTCGCCGGGGCGGTGGATAGGGACGGCCGCCGCCCGGTTACTGGAGCGGGGCGGGCCTGGTCACTGTGTCCGTCTTTATGACTGTGGCAATCGTCTGGGGTAGAGTGGCGTCCGGGTAGAGCGATAGAGTAACGAGCTGTTGACGGCAGTCGGAAACGGGCTGCTGATGCCAGAACGTCTCATTACTTCAGCGGAGAGGTCTCTCCTAACATGTAGTGGTAAGGCGACCTGAGCTGTTTTTACCGACCTACAGACACTGGCTCGTTTGCAGCTGACCTCACCTAACCCGACTTACGTCCACCTGACCTGACCCGACACGCGCTGACCTGGCCCGCGCCCTGTCCGGCAGGTGGGCTGCGGTATGGCAGCCCTGCTGATGCTCATCTGGCAGCACAGCCGTCTGGTGGTGTACGCCGGCACCTGCCTGTTCGGCCTCTCTCTGAGCAGTATCTACCCCACCACTATCTCGCTGGCAGAGACATACATCGACGTTAGCTGTACGTGACAGCAGATGGCGCGCAACGCGGCCACTTTCGAGAGCTGCAGGGTGCTGGATGTTTTGTGTAACGTTCTGAAAAGCACACCTTGTTTTTAGATGGCGTTTTTAGATCACAGTTGGTTAGAAACATGCCAGGAGCATGCGTACAGTTTCCGTATACACTATACAGTAACCGTCTAATTTTTGGTCGGTTCGACCGATTAGCCGATCGTTCGATATTATTCTCACCGCCCAGTTTATGATTTGTAAATAGCAAATAGAGCTTATCATACTCAATGTTTAGTATGCAGTAATTCTGTCAGCGGCTGGACTGGTGACGTTACCCCTTCTGTTACAGCGGTGATCACCAGTCTGATTGTGGTCGGGGCAGCCGCCGGGGAGATGGTCCAGCCCGTCGTGGTCGGACACGTAAGTTAAACTATTTTTGTCCCACTTCACGTAGAGTTTGATTCAAAACGGACTGACTCTGTGCCTTGCTTTGCCGTTCACCAGTATGCGTGGTACCGCTTGTGCGGACGCTTCCTCTGCCGCCCATAGATGGCAGCAGTGAAGACGCCTGAAGTTATGCTGTGCCGCATGGCACGGAGTGTATGCGGGCGGGCTTATCAGCCGTTTTCTCAATCGTTAGCGAACAGATGGGGATGTCTGGGATGTCGTATTGATGGGGAGCCGTTAATTGCCGATGACTTCAATAATTTGAGCGTCTCAGTGCGTTACGCCACTACCAAAAAAAAAGGTGTTTAGGTTCAACCTTTGCCATTGTAAGGAACTGAGCAGCTGAGACTGCCTGTTCATTCTGGAAATTGTTCAGACACTGGTAATTGGTGACAAGTGTGATATGCTTGATTCATTTTTTGCAGGAGTTCGAGTCGGTGGGTCCAGTCATGTTCCAGATCAACGTGATTCTGGTGGTCCTCATCTCGATCATCGTCGTATTTGTCCTGTTCGTCGTGGGCGCTTCGATAAAGAACCAGGCCGGTAAGTGAATAGGTAAAGATGGCCGCTCTGTTGGGAGAAATGGAGGAAAGACGTATTCCGTACAAATGATAATGATTTTTTTCTCATTTGATGACACCAGCAACGTTATATCACCTACGATAAGATTCTACCGCTTGTTCTACACATTATATACCACGATGAAGATAACATATTACCCTTCGAACGACCTCCTCCGTCGCAGTATCACCCTCTGACGAAGTTCCGTCCCCTCGGCAGGTCTGTTCCGCCTGTTCCGCTGCTGTATGGGATCCGGCAGTGACCCCGGCGAGGACACCGGTCTGATGAGTCAACACGTAACCTACTACTCACGCATGCCACACGAGGTCAGCTCCAGTGAGCTGCACTTCAACCCCAACGGCAAGGGCAGCTAGGTCGGCCTCTGGGTCAGCTAGGGCGGCCTCTGGTCAGCGGAGTGTTGCTGCTGAGGGGCACCTGGGTGTGCGCTGTTCCAGAGAGATGATGTGGTGAGGTCGTGAGGCGCAGACCGGTCATATGAAGGTGGAGGGTACCAGGATGGTCCGGCCGAGGTGTTGTGAAGTGGAAGTGTGAAGCGATGTGTCGGAGAGGTTACGAGTCGGTCGACCGATAGGTGGCGCTGGATGATTGGTCGACGACATCGGGCATTAGGAAAAGCTGGGAACGCTCTGAGAGAGCGACTAGAAAGCTCGAGGACTTATTGCTGTTATTTGTCGAACGCTGTGCGTCAAGTGTTTGTGTGAGAGGCAGTGGAAAACCGAAGAGAGGACGTTAAGTTATACTGGAGGGCGGAGCACCAAGAGCTGATGCCGCTGCATTGCTGGTGGTTTCTCGGCGAGCCAGGAGCGTCCGTGGAGACTATGTCGTGTGCGCGGTGGAGACGGCTGAGGCGAACACTACGGAGAGAGTGTGATGTGCGAAACGAACTCTGGCGAATGCAAGTGTCGAGTATGATAGAGGGCGTGTGTGGAGCTGAATGAGCCGGCCGTAAGAGGCCCCGAAGTCCCGTGTGGTCACCCTTTTGGGATACGACTGAGTGCACGACAGTACGCCATTCATTTATGGGAGGCTGTTCAACTGTTACAGGACGGAAGTTGTTGTTCGGATGTTTATTATCATTTATCGGGATAGGGCTGTTCGTATGCGTAGCTGCTGGGGTACATAGCCATGAAAACTGTCGACGGAATGCAAACGTTACGACTGATGGGACTCCAGCAATAGTTACGTTCTGTTATATATTTCCTCCCACACTGGAAGCATGCGCATCATCGCATGAAATGGTAAATTGGAGATCCATAGGGACTTTGTTTTCGATCGCAGTCTCTTAAGCGTTCAGATGTGGGCAGTGGATATGAGTCATTTGGTTTGGTCAAGGCAATTCGGTTTTGTTTTTGTCCACAGGTTATTGGAGCTGTGAGTGTATTTGTGTGCCATGGCAGGTATGGCATACGATTCCAATGTTCGCTAGCGTAGAATGGGTGTTCTCGAGTAAGTCCGCCTCTTGAATCCTCCGACTTTTCCTGTCCAGTCAATGTGCGTGAGTTTTTTTTATAACATATATATATTAGTTATTTTGAAATTTTGAATCATAACTTCAATGAATCCTAAAGTAACTTGTACTTGTTCCACCAGTGCTTCCTAGGGAATCAAGCCCTTTTCTCGGACTTACCGAACCAAAATAGAAGCATATCATTTTATTCTAAAACGGTACGCGTTCTCTTTTCCCGTCTACTCGAAGTTCGTAGCTGGTCCGGGCGCTGCGCCTTGGCACTTGGCGTGTACGATTCCAGTGGACTGCCATGGTGTCTGGGTAGCGGTGCCGTGTTCAGCTGTCGAGTGTCTGCCCTTCCACGATTCCCTGATCCGTCGGTTTCCTGTGGCGGTAATGAGATATGCCTCCCGAGCCGCTAATCGCACTCTGAACGGCGGGGGCACGGTCCGAGTCTTTAGCCGCGGGGCGTACGGTCCGGCTCCCCAAGCCGCGGGGCTCACTGTCCGGCTCCAGCCGCGGGGCTCGCCGTCCTGCCTCGGCCGATCAGCTCTCAATGGTCGGTCACCGTCTCACTACCGGCCAATGTTCTCCGTAAGACGTGTTGTCAACTCGCTGTGACTGTGAATGTCTCGTCGATTTCAACATTCTCGTCGATATCTATGCCTCTGGCCACGTTTCGCGGTCGAGTTTCTCAGTCTTTATCTAGAGCTGAATTTTCCGTCTCTCGGCTGACTGCAGCCGTTCGAGCTTAGGAATAGGGATAGATTTAGGAAAGGAGCGACTATTTGGATTGTTCGATGTGCTTTCAGGAACAACTAGACAGAAATGCACTCTTTAGGCTTCGGTCCGGTTTTGCCAACACTGCGCACAGTGTTTTTGCTACTCCAAAAACAACATGTACCTATTATCAATCTCACGGCTTTGACTTCTATTCATCTGTCGAGCGGTTGTACCATATTTGTGTGTTCGTACTGTCCTTACGTTGTGTGCATGGATGTTGTTTGAGGCAGACTGCAGAGGCTGCAGATATTTATTTAATGGAAAAGGCTAGCAGAGACGTTGTTTGCTTCGGGTGAACGAATAGTTGAACAATGCTATGTTTCGATGTAGGCATATGTTATCTGCGATTGAATGTGTTATTTGTCGTTTCTTGTTCCTTTCTTTTGTGCAATCACCTGTTACCTAATTTATTATCCGAACTCTCGTCTTTTTTTGACTGTTTTCTGTGTGTTGGGGAGTGAATGCTGTTTAAATATAGGAATCATACATACAAGCGCATAATTATGTCATGTGATATAGGCTTAACTCTAATGGTAGCGCCCTTGTATATGTTATAATAGATGTGCTCAAATGATACTACTGTTTCTTTTTTATCGGTGAAGTGAAGACCGAAGAGAGTCATGTTCTGTAGGTATTCACGGGCCAAGGGACAATAATATTACACTATAGTATTCGGACCTCGCGCAGTGCATAAGAACACCCAGCGGTCCTCGTTTTGTCACAAACTTTTTTGTCTTGACACTTACCGGAATACTGACATTCCTCCACGCACACTTGACAGGAAAAGAGCGATAAAAATGTAATGAGGCCGAAGAAGTCCGCATTAAAATTACAGGCAATATACAAAAAGTCAATAATGCTAATGAATTAAAAAATGAGTATATTAATGAAAGAAATCTGAAAACGGATGGATAAAATGATATCCAAACGACTGATGCAGTATAATGACATACAAACTGGTGATTAAACTTAGCATGCGCTTATGTAGCCTGTCGAGGGCCCAGGTTCTCGATGTTTTCCTACGGCGATAGGCGATTCAAACGGACTTCCACTTTCTCTGAGTGTTTTTCAGAAAACATTTTAAGGCCCGCGCCACCGCAAAAAGATGTGGTTAACGAGGGACCGACGATGTGTGCTCCACTCGAAACGAACTTGGTCAAAAATGTTGCATAGCTTGCTTCACGACAGTAAGGTAGTTTGGTAGGTATAAATGAGCTTCAGACTAAGGTCCAGTTGTAGGTAAAGTAATTTTCAAGGCTTTTCTCGAGTTTTGAGGGAGGCCGTGCCTCCAACTGAGTATTAAAATGTTCGAATAAATGTGAAGGGATCTGTTAACCAGTTACGTGCGCTTTTTTGTTTTAACTTCTTACTAGAGGTGGCAAAATGTGGACCCGAGGACCCGGTCCAAAGAACCAGTCTGGACCCATATGGGTCCAGACCGGTTCCTGGAAATTTTCTGACGGGTCCAACCGGGTCCTGCCATAAACCATACATCATGCACACTACAAATGATTGCAAAATATGAAGTGAATGGAAAGAAAACATTTGCTCATGTATGTTTCTTTGCACACTGCACCTCATGAATATTTCCAGTGCGAAAAAGGCTGTTTCACATGATGCAGCCTACCTACCTACCTGCAATGCTACCTACAAATGCTTTGTATTACTTGACTTTTGGGGAACGGGTCCAACTGGTTCCGATTCCAACTTCGACCGGGTCCGACTGGTTCCAGAAATATCCAGTCGGGTCTGGTTCGAGTTTGGTTCCCAAAATTTTCACCTTTTGCCACCTCTGCTTCTTACAAATTGCACTTGTGCTATTTAAAGAACATTTTCAGTGAGTAATTAGGCCATTTATGCAACGCATCACCCAATGCATCCTTACTTAAGGTAATGAGGGAAAATTTGAAAATATAGCAGTTTCTAAGGTGCAGATAAACGTATCTAAAATGACATTATGTTCAAATATTTATGTAGTTAGCGGAACATTGTTGTAAACGAATGCACGCGATTATTTGGTATTTGAAAAGTTTAATCAATAAATATGCAACAGCAGGACAATCTAATCGACTCTCGCACAAGGCCCTAAGCAATGACAGCGATGTTGAATATTGCTTCCAATGTGTCTGATGTTGTATTTAACCTAATTACCTAAATACTAGACTCGCCGTTCATCACATAACGTTTAGGTTTGCTGGATAACATCTCGACACGTTCGGTGTTAGGCGGATCTCCTGCACACCTAAAACATATTTCTACCGTAACACCTTGTCCTATCTATAAAAAGCTGTCAGCTAAGAAAAGCGTCCGCGTGCAGCTTCAAGCTTTACAGACCATTGTGGGATTCGGTAGTATTCTATGACCGTGGGATTCGGTGAGTAATGATACGACTCAGATACGGCTGATTGGAAAGCCGTTTTTTTTTCTTCTAAGTTTGCAAGGGCACGCGCAATGCCAAGTTGGAAGGCTCTTATTTTTTCAGTTATTCTACCCTTGGGTAAAGTACTAGTGATGTCAATTACGGAAAATCTGAATACCGATACCAAACCAAATACCAACCAAAACCATGGGGAAATACCGAAACCAAACCAACTTGGAAAAATGAGGGAAATACCAGCTTTTTACCGATTTCCTAGCCTTTTATACATTATTGAGGGTTCATGATACCAACAAAATACCAAACACATTACGATTGAAATACCAAATACCAAGTTGGTATCGGTTTGGTATCGGTATACCAAGAAGTTGGTATCCGATTGACATCTCTATAAAGTACCGTATACCAATGGGTGGCGTGGGTAGAAGCTTCACCAAACCAGTAACACCGCAGTTTGTCGGTTAGAATGGGAATGAGGGCCAGTCGTTCTTTCCATGCAACTTCTTAGTGTTTTTAATGGTACCTTTTATTAAAATGAAATGCCTTGAAGGAGTGGCGTCGCTTTATGGATACGGCCCGTCCACGGAACATTAGCTGCTCTGCTTGTACTTTATTTGAACAAAAAAGTTAAAAGGGCTCCAGTGTCCCAAGTCAGTTTGAAAGAAAAAGCGAAACGTGGCATGTGCGGATATATCAAATTATTTACTCATAGTTCCAACCGAATTGATAAGGTATTTATGAACTCTGGGTGTCCGTCGGCAGCAGGGCCGACGGGAGCAGCCCTGGTGACGTCACCTGTCCGCTGTGACGTCACCAGTCGGCTGCTGACGTCACACAGAGCCGGTCTATATTAGCGCGTCTCGCCGCCGTCGGCGACAGATCGTTCTGCGCCGTCAGAGTACGGACGAACGGTGTACGGACCTGCCGGTGACCGGTGACCTGACCCGCCCGCAGCGTGACCTGTGACCTCTGAGACACGCACTGACCGGGAGACAGGATGGCGAGCCAGTGCCGCCAGAACTACCACGAGGACTCTGAGGCCGGGGTCAACAAACAGATCAACATGGAGCTGTTCGCCAGCTACACCTACCTCTCTATGGTGAGCAGAACGCAATCGCATATAACCAGTGGCACACTGCTTATTTATGTGCTTACGTGCTTACGTTACTTACGTAGCTTCGTAGTTCAACGTTCAGAAGCAATTGCATTGCACTACCTATTGCACGGCTTGCATAAGCCTATGCTCTTAATTAAGAGTGCGAAAGTGCGAGTTACTGCGAGTTCCGGCTCCGGCTCTTTTCATAGGGTTTCTCTTTTCATTCGGCTTATCTACCGTCTAAATTGTATCTCGCGTCACATCCCTGTATTTACCAGTAGAATCAGTTGCATAATGCATAAGTACGGTGGCCGACCCGTCGACCCGCGGTAGCCCTCCCCTCTTTGGAACGCATTTGGCTCCCGTCGCTGGCAGCTGTGCGCGCCGAGTGGCAATGCGCAGCGTCCTCCCCCCTCGCCCCCCCCCCCGGACCGGAGCTCGGTCATCCAACCTTGGGGGAGTACGCAACTACGCAGAGGTGCCAGACGCACACTGCCTGAATCGGCGGGGGACGCTAAAGAAATGACGCTAGTGCTTCACACGATTCTCACTTCCCTTGGAACCCACTGTATAGACCTATACAGTGGGTACCTGTAATTTAAAATACCTGTAAATACCTGTATTTAAAAATTCGGAAATATAATTTATATGTTTAGTGTCTACCTTTTGAAGCATGTTTTTAACCCGCGAGTTGCGGGGGGGGGGCGTTAAACGCCCCCACTTTTTTCGCCGGGCCATAGCATCAAAACGGCGCGCCGCAGGCGCGCCAAATTTTTGGTACCTGTAGGGAATTGATTGAAGTTTATTGTGACAAAGTTTCAAAAAAATCGGTCGGAAATTTTTTGAGATATCGAGGTTTTAGTGACGACATGATTTCTGAGTTTTCGACCAAAAACGGCATATGTTCAAAAAATCATATAAAATCACAGAATAGACATACAGACATGCCGTAAACGTCATTAGACTGCCAATACCATGGTCAATCAAATGGCTATCTTCGATTATTGATTATCGTTCCGCATTTTCCATAATCTTGAACTGAATCTTGGCAATTTTTCGTGACTTCTTCACGACCATGATACATGAATTTCTTAAATTGAACTTTTTGAGCCAAACACGTACACATATGATAAAATGAATGTCACTATCGTGTTCTACGCCCCAAATTACCTATAAAACATGTGTCACAGGCTGCGAATATCAGTTTTGATTTTCGGGGATATGTGCCTACCCGGTTGACCTGACCTTGACCCTGACCTCTGCTTGATTGACCCATACATGGAGCTGACACTCTTGTAGGCCTTATAAGATGGATTGTGCACCGTTTTGACAGAGTTTATGGCGAGAGGCGCCCATTGCGAAGTTCTGAAGTCCATGCTACTGAAAGCCCGATTTCAGGTGTTTGACCTGACCTTGACCCGACCTGTGACCTCAAAATTCAACTTTAAAGTACTCATCTGAATCGTCTCGTCGCGCTCTTTCGTTTGCCGCCTCGTGCGTTTCGCTGCGCCTATTGGTTCTCGAGTTATCGGCTGGGGGCGTTTAACGCCCCCCCCCCCCCCCAGCAAACGGTGGGTGGCGAAATACCCCAGCAACTGCCGGGTTAAATAGAGACGGTAGACGGCCATTTTAAGGAAACAAATTGTCACTGAAGGTAAGGTCAAAGGTAATGCAACAGAGGTTATTTTGGGTCACATGTTGATGTTGCCGTCTGCCGATTTCGACTTTCTTGGCCTCATAACTCCTGGTTGCAATAGGTACCATGGGAAATCGTTCGAATCGACAGCTTATTATTAAAAGCCCTTACATTTACAGTTGACCACGGTTTGTTTTACAGTTCAACGGTTCGGTTTACAAAGGGCAGGGACCGTTTGTATTGACTTAACCGATACCTACTTATACTTTTTGCTTAGGTGAAGTCAGCTCAAGGTGTTAACCTCAGGTCAAGGTCGGGTCACACCGTCTTAGGTCACGAAGCTGGTCGAAGGAGGTTATGTCGCATATAATTCGATTTGGCAGGTCTTTTCGAGTCCATTGCGGCTTTCTCGAGTCCCTACTTCCCTGTTTAATTTGGTCTGTAATTATTGACGAAATATTCTGATGAGATCACGCAGTCGACAGAACAAAAGTGAAGCATCGGAACTCCCAAGGATGCTATGAGTTTACAGATACAGATACAGATACAGATGTATTCAAACAGGATCCCCTCTGAGGAGGGGCTTTTCACATGTTCACGTCAATGAAAAACTGAAAATACAAACAATGAAACGCATACATAACTCTTTCACGCACATGCATTCGTTCAACATACGTTCATGTCGGTGGCGTGGCCAGCAGCACATTTTTGACTTTATAGCGGTACGACAGAATACCTGGCTCGACTCCCAGCTCGTTCAAACGAGCTATGCCACGGTAGCAGAGCCTACGGCGGCCTGCTTCCGTACGAATGGATGGGAGTGTAAAATAGTAGGCGCGCCTGGTGTCGTGTCTATGACGCTGGCTAGCCCGCTGGCCAAATGTACCTCGGAGATATTCGGGCTGTCCGGACGTGATGATGCGCTCTACAGCGCTCACAGTGTGATACGTTACTAACTGTTTAGTGTTTGGCAGTCAACCACCACTTCAGCTCCTTAATGACTGCCACAACATTATCGCGACGCCGTCGACCGGATACGACACGTGCACAAAAATTCACCACTTTCTGCAGTCGACAAAGCTGCCTTTCCCCACACGATCCATACACCGATAAACCATACCGCAACACTGACATGACCAGCGCTCCGACAATCTGCCTCAGGGCTGATCGCGGTATCACGTGCCGTGCGTGTATCAGCGCCGTGAGCATGCCTGTGCATTTCCGTGTTACGGCATCTTCATGCGGCACAAAGTTGAGGTGGCGGCCAAGAATGATTCCTAGGTTTTTCACAGTCTCAGACTCGGTAATGGTAGTCGCGCAGAAGTTCAGGGTAACTGGTGGCAAGGTTCGAAGCATCGCCGGAGTTCCTATAGCAAGCATCTGCGTCTTTGCAGCGTTGAGCTTCATTCCGTTGTGGCAGAACCACAGATAGACACGAGGCCATTGCGTCCTCGCAATGGCCTCATCAGTCATCGATTATTTGTAAGTCACATTTCCTGCCAGTTACCATAAGCTGAGTATCGTCAGCGTACTGAACTATGGTGACGTCTTCGGGTACGCTCAGACACAGATCGTTGGAGAAAAGCATGTACAGTACACAGCTCAAGGCGCCGCCCTGGTACACGCCGATGGTGTTCTCCTTGCTTTGAGGTAGTCATGGGTAATTCCCGGTGCCAGAATAAAAACGTCCATAAGATTCCCATTTGACTTATAATGGTGAGGTCGCGTGATCTCACCGACGAGACCTCAGGTGACCCTTAAGGGAGTTCTGAGATATCGAAGCTGTGAGAGCTCGAGAGCTCACTGAGTACTGTTAGTTTCATTTCCCTATGAACGATCTCCTGGCACTGAGAGCGTTGAGGATTTGCGACATTTTAGGGCCGTGCGTAGATTCATTCGTGACACCATAGGTCACAGTGACCTGACCTAACCTGAAAATGCAATTATGTAGAAAGATCCGTCTTGAACCAAAGGTCAGGTGCGGCAGCCTTCAGCGCTATGTGGCCACTGCGCTCCGAGCAATTGCAAAAAAAAAAAAAAAAAACGTCACGGGCGGCACCCTTTGACCGAGAAGAGCTAATCTACCTTACCGTTACACCGTACATACATAACGGGACGGAGTCATCTCCCCTCCCCCACCTCCCTCCGCAGGCCTACTTTTTCGACCGGGACGACGTCGCCTTCCCCGGCTTCTTCGACTACTTCAAGAAGGCTTCTGACGAGGAGCGCGAGCACGCGCAGAAGCTGATGAAGTTCCAGAACCAGCGCGGCGGACGGGTGCTGCTGCAGCCCGTCATGAAGCCGGCTCAGGACCAGTGGGGCTCGCCGCTGGCGGCCGCCCGCGCCGCCCTCGAGCTGGAGAAGTCGGTGAATCAGTCGCTGCTGGATCTACACACGGTGGCCGGCTCGCACGGCGACGCCCAGATGTGCGACTTCATCGAGAACGAGTTCCTCACCGAACAGGTAAAGACCGAAAGCTGAGGAGCGGGGAGTGGGGGAATGGGTGCATGGGTGACCGCGGTTCATACAGCTGAGAAAGGTAATTCAGCTGGAGTATTACATAAATGTGTAGTGTGTAATGAAGCTGGAGCGAAGGAGCGATTAGTGCAGCTGTGGGCAGTGCGGTAAGAATGACCTACCATGAGGACCCAATCATGCCGAGCCAGCTGTCTGACCAGCCGTCTGTTCCCAGGTGGAGGCGATCAAGGAGCTGGGTGACATGATTACAAGGATGGAGCGTTGTGGCCCGGGTCTTGGAGAGTACCTCTTCGACCGCGACCTCAAGAAGGAGTGAGCACCGCGGCCCGGGCCTGGGAGAGTACCTCTTCGACCGCGACCTCAAGAAGGACTGAGCACCGCGGCCAGGGCCTGGGAGATCTGTTCGACCGCGACCTCAAGAAGGAGTGAGCGCTAAGCACTCCATTTCTTTTCCCGGCGTCACCGATGAGGGTCGTCGCCAGCCGGAGTTCTCAATCGTGTACTGCGGATTTCAGGTATTGAAACGTTGAGTTGAGCATTGTTGATAAGATTATCAGGAGTATGAAAAATAACCTCTTGCTCATATCTGATTTGCTTGTTCCATTGTAACACTGTACCACTGAGGAAGGGCCACGCCCGAATATATATTGGTCTTTAATTTTTTAATTCCTTCAGATATGAGCAAGAGGTTATTTTTCATACTCCTGGTGTACTGCGGAGTTCGACAACCGTGTAGGTACGCTTGTTTCAGTGGTGAAATGTAGCGTGCGTCATGTGCATCTAAAAATTGTGCGTTTAACTCCACAACCTTCGGAAGTCGCCGGCAGCGGGCCTCCTGTTGATATTGTCAGTTAAAGTGAGTACAAATAGCAATAAATCCAGACCAACTAACACACTCTTCTTGAAGTTGGATCATCCGCCACGCTTAGGAATATTTCGCTGAGCTCGTCAACAGGGCAGATGACACCCCCCCCCCCCCATCCCACACACACACACACTCCACCCCTTTCCACGGAACACCAACGTTTTCCACGACTCCAGCATTTATTAATCCACTTTAAAAGGCAGAACATTCGTACATCTATTTCGCGTCTGATTACGGGGAGCATCTCGAGGCAGCCGCTCGAACTTCAAAAGTCTGAGGCGGCCACTGCGAGTCGCTCCGGCCCATCCTGCCCAGTCATATATCGCAGTACTACACGAAACAATCCGGATACAATCCTAGCGTTCACCCAGAACCACACTCACGTCAAAGACGGCTGTTAGTCAGTGCTTAAAGACTAACAGAATCAGAACGCCGGAGATTTTCAGCGGCCACTCGGTACAGGCGGAGCTGGCTCGCCAGCCCCGACCGTTGCGGTTATCTATCGCGAGCAGTATATGTATCGTCATCAGTTTCTACAATATTGTCAGCATCACAGCGGGGTGTTGAACGGTGACGGCGGCGGGGTGGGGACCGGCGCACGCGCTTCTGTCATGGAGCGGACACTCGGAGACTCTGAACCACCCGAGTCGGGCGCGCGGCGGCGCTCGTCCGACCCGCGCACCGTCACTGATATTCGTAATATGAGACCTACATTGACCGCCCCGCTCGGCAGGTTAGACACCGGGAGCCAGGAGAGGGTCAGACCAGCCCGAGAACACCTCAGCGGGCAGCTGTATACACCAGCGCGCCGCCGAGTGCCGACCTCCTCACAGTCGCCGACCTGCCACCGGCGGGCCGGGCACTCGGATATTCCCTGGCCGCCGTCCGACAGGCCGACTCCAGCTACCAGCGGCGCCAGTGCGGCTCGCACGACACGGGACGGAAGCACACCAACCTAGACCAGCCTTACGACAATTACAACTCCCAATACACCATCGCTCTGTCACTACACGCATAAACATTCACAACTGTTCAATCCGGGCTTAATCACTCCTTCCATAAACATTTATCAATCCCCAACGGCAGCTGATATCTGTCTGCGACGTCTAATTTGGTCGCGGTTAGTGCATTATATCAATTGCACGATCGAATAAGCGGCGACTGAGTCGCCCTCCAATATCTACCCAGAACGCAAACCAGCGAGAAATAGCTCTGCCTCCCCGCCCCCCCCCCCCCCCCTCCCTCGACACATACACCGGACCCTCTCTGGCCCGTTCCTCCTCTCACATACGGCCCAGCACATCCGCCCTAGGTTAGAGTTAGTACGCGAGAGGAACTACGTCGGGCGATATTCACGTCTCCCATACCACTGCGTCGAAACATTCACGTCCGCGTCCGCCTACGTTATGGGTCAGTCACATCTCCCATCCGCCTGCGTCGGCGTCATGCACGCCTCCGTCCGCCTGCATTAAAAGCCGAGAGCTTCTTCTAGCCAGCGCAGCCGTACACAGCGCGGAGCTCAGCATCCTCTGACACAGAACACATCGGACCGACGGCCGTCCCAGGGAGCGAGGGCCCATTGTCCTCTCCCTCTCCACACTTACAACTCAGTCCACGGCGTCCTTAAGCTGCGCACGGCAGGCGCCGCCAGGAGGAGCTCCAGTCCAGTCAGTCAGACAGGCCAGTCTCCGAGGTCTGTCGGACTGCCAGCCACAGACCAGTGACCAGACCAGTCCAGTCAGACAGACAGGCCAGTCTCCGAGAGCCTGTCGGACTGCCGGCCACAGACCAGTGACCAGACCAGACCAGTCAGTCTCCGAGAGTCTGAGGGACAGCTGGCTAAAGACCAGTCCAGCCAGTCTCCGGGATCTGTCCGACTGCCGCCGGTCACAGACTCTGCCAGCCGTCCGGCAGCGCTCAGAGTCTGTCGGACCGCCGGTCACGGACCAGTCCAGTCTCTAAGAGTCTGTCGGACTGTCACAGACCATTTCAGCCAGTCTCTCAGAGTCTGTCGGCTGCCGGTCACAGGCTCTGCCAGCCGTCCGGCAGCGCTCAGAGATTCTGCCAGTCTGTCTGACTGAACGAGTCCTCCATGAGGCGGGTCACCTCCTCGGGGATGCCGTGCGCGATCCACAGCCGGTTCAGCTTGTCGTACTGCTCGCGCCACAGCGTCAGAGGGTTGCCACGGTTCAGGCCCTGGTCCATCTCGCCAAACTTGTCCACGTACGGCGGGGGAACGCTGGCACCTGCAGGGGATACCGCCGGCCGAGGAGGAGATGTTAGAGATGCCTGGGCTAAAGACGGCGCCATACGCTTAAATTTGAGTGGTGAACTTATGATTTTAGGCACTTAACTATGCCCAAGTTGCCTTGGTATGCTGACACTCAAAAGCCCTTGTACCATCCCTTCCCCCTGTACAGTTTCCTCTGTTCCATCCTCAGAACACGCAACCTCATCCATCCTTCATTCTCCATACCTCAACCCCCCTGATCCGGGCTGAAGGGCCACCTTCATCCGACGTGTGTGACTCCTCAGGAGTAGGGGAGAGTGGGGCAAAGCGGCCACCCTAACGCTTCTCACGATGCCAACGCTTGATTTTTAAACTTGGAAAGATTCTTTCTATACCAATGTGATCCCTATTAAGTTGCCTTTTATTTCAACTGCGTTTTATTTCCAAAGGCGTTCACATATGAAAGATATTGACAAAACTTTAAACCTATGCATATTGGCCACTTTGCCCCATACCCAGGGGCAAAGCGGCCACCGGCGTCTTCTCAAGTCCCGATAGGAGAAACAAAATAGTTGTCTTGTGTACGACTACGGTATTTGATGGCGACAAGGTTAAGCGAGGATGGATGTTTACTTTATCAACTTCCACCCGTAGGTAAACAAAGAAAGGATTTTCATGAAAATAAACATTGAATTGCATTATTTGGTAACTCATGCAACTGAAAACTGGCCAAGATAATTGCATGACGACACATTTGAATATAAATTATGTTTTTTATCCAGATGGAAGCAACTTATGGCCAATTGGGGGGTGGCCACTTTGCCCCGGCCACTTTGCCCCGCGCATACCGTCCGAGACAAAAATATTCCAGCTTAGCTATTAGTGGGGTAAAAAACATTAAAATTGGTAGAATACATGTACGATAACCATGCAATGCATGGACAAGAACGCTTATAAAAATTCCAAACGGTTATGGAATAACATAACATTTAAAAATTGTAAACATAGTTGGTAACCTGGCAAGAAATGCTTTTCCGTGTTTCACAGAACAATGGTGATGGGCCTGAAACCCCGGTCTGGCTCATTCGAACGACCGTAAAGAGAAGTATAATTGGAAACCATACATTGGAACTGACGCCAGTCATGAAGGGCTAAAACGATGGGTGGCCGCTTTGCCCCGGGTGGCCGCTTTGCCCCACTCTCCCCTATTTCCACGTACGGTGGGGCACCCGTTAGTGGGACCGGTAGGCCTGTACACTTTGACTGGCTCAGCCCCAGCAGCGCACATGGGGACCCGCCCAGGCCAACGTCCTCCCACTCCCCCCCCCCCTAATTCTATCATCAACCCGGTTCAGAGCCTCATTAGACCGAAAGGACCTAACGTTTCAAAGCAAAACAAACAAACCCAACCCTGATCCGCTCGGCCTATCCTCTGCTCTAACCTGTGCCCTAGTGAGTTGCTCACCGGCATGTGCTCTTTGATGCTCATTGACCTGCGCCCTCACCACTGTCCTGCTCTAATCTTGACTCGTGTCCTATCGTGTCCTTTGACTTGTGCTATGATCTATGACCTCTGTACACTGAACCCTGTGGCATGCCCTGTCATTTGAACTATGCCCTGACCTCTGACCCTCGCTCTCACTGACCCGGCACCCCTGACGTCTGACCCCCGGTTGACTGACCTCTGACTTTGTTGACCAGCAGGTGGACGCGACACTCGCGGATGCGCAGCATGACGCCGGAGCCGGCGCCGCAGCGCATCAGGTGCGCGTTACAGGCGCCGATCTGTCCAATGTGCTCCACCTGCACCTGACAGCAGTACGACTGGGAGCACAGCAGCTCGCCGCACGCCAGACACATGGCCGGCACGCGCGACTCGCCGTCGCTGCTCGGACACGTGAAGTCGGATACCTGGGGGAGAATAGGGAGAGGGTCAGTTGGGAGGGTACAGGGATGCCAGGGATGCAAGGCGGGCGTCTGAGCGACGGCACGGCCCTGAATCGAATCGCGCTGGACATAAGTCATTGCTGGTAGTTGGTACGCCCTATGGCTGTATGAACTGGGCAGAGTCATTGCCACACACTTGGCGACGAGTCCACCAAGTACATTTCACAATGCATCTTGGCGATGAGCTCGAGTATCGATGAGCAGCTGGTCATTCAGTATGCTCTGCCAGTTTGATATGAACAGTTGTAAGGAACTCTTAGTGCCGCATGTTCTGCTCGAATCAAATTTCAAAGCCCCAAAACACTGCTCGAACAAAACTACCACAACTTCGAGCGCAGGTCGCTAAGGGCGATCCTGCGCTGCGTTCTATGGTCACCACCGACCTTGTTGATAAGCTCGGAGAAGTCGACGGGCAGCGGGATGAGTGTGTTGACTGACAGCGGGTAGCGGACGATGGGCCCGCGGCTGCCGGCCAGGTACGGCCCGATGTCCGGGTGGCGACACCACCTGAGGACGGCGTGCGAAAGAGGTCAGCGGCGAGGTCATCAGAGGTCATTCGTCAGATCGGAGGCTACGGCAGGTCGGGTCGGAAGTCTGCTGTCGGGGGCAAGTCGAGTACGGGTCGCAAGACTAGCTGAAAGCGAAGGCTAGGGGATGTCGAGTCAGAGCCAAAATTCACAGCCTACGCAGGCTACAGGTCGGATCGGTAGGACATCTCTAAGACGCCTAGACTAAGGAGAGAACTGGCAAGTTTGAATATTACGCAACACCCGACAATAGGAATATAGTGACAGAGCTCCAGGCCCACGCCCTCCCCGGCCGCGGCCACTCACTTGGCGATGAGATCTTGCAGCACGCTCTGGCAGTCTGTGGCCTGGGGCACGCAGAGCGAGTCCAGTCCCAGGTAGCGCAGCAGGTGCGGGTACTGGGCCGCCAGCGGCAGCGGCTGCAGCAGCTCGTCGGGCGCGCGCACTCCCGTCAGGAAGTGGAAGTAGAGCGCGCAGCAGCGCAGGAACGGCGTCACCGCGCCGGCCACATACTGGCGCAGCAGCGGCGGGCTGACGTCGGCCACCTCGACGCCGGCGGCGGAGCGGACCAGCGTGTAGAGCTCTGCCAGCCACTGCTGCTCGTCCTGGTCACCGGCGGCCGGCTCGTCGTCCGTCTCCATCGGCTGCTGGCGCGTCAGCTCGGCCACGTCCAGCGTCAGCAGGATCTGCACCAGGTGCAGCAGCAGCGAGAGACGAACACACTGCAGGTCCTGGGGACGGGAGAGCAGACCACAGCGTCAGCAGGATCTGCACCAGGTGCAGCAGCAGCGACAGACGAACACACTGCAGGTCCTGGGGAGGGAGACGAGACCACAGCGTCAGCAGGATCTGCACCAGGTGCAGCAGCAGCGACAGACGAACACACTGCAGGTCCTGGGGAGGGAGGGAGACCACAGCGTCAGCAGGATCTGCACCAGGTGCAGCAGCAGCGACAGACGAACACACTGCAGGTCCTGGGGAGGGGTGGGAGACGAGACCACAGCGTCAGCAGGATCTGCACCAGGTGCAGCAGCAGCGACAGACGAACACACTGCAGGTCCTGGGGAGGGAGGGAGACCACAGCGTCAGCAGGATCTGCACCAGGTGCAGCAGCAGCGACAGACGAACACACTGCAGGTCCTGGGGACGGGAGACGAGACCACAGCGTCAGCAGGATCTGCACCAGGTGCAGCAGCAGCGACAGACGAACACACTGCAGGTCCTGGGGAGGGAGGGAGACCACAGCGTCAGCAGGATCTGCACCAGGTGCAGCAGCAGCGACAGACGAACACACTGCAGGTCCTGGGGACGGGAGACGAGACCACAGCGTCAGCAGGATCTGCACCAGGTGCAGCAGCAGCGAGAGACGAACACACTGCAGGTCCTGGGGAGGGAGACCGCAGCGTCAGCAGGATCTGCACCAGGTGCAGCAGCAGCGACAGACGAACACACTGCAGGTCCTGGGGAGGGAGACCACAGCGTCAGCAGGATCTGCACCAGGTGCAGCAGCAGCGACAGACGAACACACTGCAGGTCCTGGGGAGGGGAGACGAGACCACAGCGTCAGCAGGATCTGCACCAGGTGCAGCAGCAGCGACAGACGAACACACTGCAGGTCCTGGGGAGGGAGACGAGACCACAGCGTCAGCAGGATCTGCACCAGGTGCAGCAGCAGCGACAGACGAACACACTGCAGGTCCTGGGGACGGGAGGGAGACCACAGCGTCAGCAGGATCTGCACCAGGTGCAGCAGCAGCGACAGACGAACACACTGCAGGTCCTGGGGACGGGAGACGAGACCACAGCGTCAGCAGGATCTGCACCACGTGCAGCAGCAGCGACAGACGAACACACTGCAGGTCCTGGGGAGGGGAGGGAGACCACAGCGTCAGCAGGATCTGCACCACGTGCAGCAGCAGCGACAGACGAACACACTGCAGGTCCTGGGGAGGGGAGGGAGACCACAGCGTCAGCAGGATCTGCACCAGGTGCAGCAGCAGCGACAGACGAACACACTGCAGGTCCTGGGGACGGGAGGGAGACCACAGCGTCAGCAGGATCTGCACCAGGTGCAGCAGCAGCGACAGACGAACACACTGCAGGTCCTGGGGAGGGAGACGAGACCACAGCGTCAGCAGGATCTGCACCAGGTGCAGCAGCAGCGAGAGACGAACACACTGCAGGTCCTGGGGAGGGAGACCGCAGCGTCAGCAGGATCTGCACCAGGTGCAGCAGCAGCGACAGACGAACACACTGCAGGTCCTGGGGAGGGGACGGGAGACCACAGCGTCAGCAGGATCTGCACCAGGTGCAGCAGCAGCGAGAGACGAACACACTGCAGGTCCTGGGGAGGGAGACCGCAGCGTCAGCAGGATCTGCACCAGGTGCAGCAGCAGCGACAGACGAACACACTGCAGGTCCTGGGGAGGGAGACGAGACCACAGCGTCAGCAGGATCTGCACCAGGTGCAGCAGCAGCGAGAGACGAACACACTGCAGGTCCTGGGGAGGGAGACCGCAGCGTCAGCAGGATCTGCACCAGGTGCAGCAGCAGCGACAGACGAACACACTGCAGGTCCTGGGGAGGGGACGGGAGACCACAGCGTCAGCAGGATCTGCACCAGGTGCAGCAGCAGCGACACACGAACACACTGCAGGTCCTGGGGAGGGGGGATACCACAGCGTCAGCAGGATCTGCACCAGGTGCAGCAGCAGCGACAGACCAACACACTGCAGGTCCTGGGGACGGGAGACGAGACCACAGCGTCAGCAACAGCGAAAGTCTCACAACCGTTCCCACAACTCGCTTCTATACACATCAGCTCTCACCCTTCCGTCCCTCCCTTTCACATTCTACTCACCACATTCCCCGTTCAGCCGCGATCCAGATGGCGCCTCGATGCCATCGGAGCACCCACCCTCCTCTTCCCCTATATCTGTCTCTCTCGCTCCCTCAGCTCACCTGCAGCGATCCGGAGGGCGCCTGGATGCCGTCGGCGTGTTCGGCGAACAGTGTGGTGGTCAGCGAGCACAGGATCACCACCAGGCCGAAGGCGTCCATGTCTGTGACGGGCGGCCCGCCGGCCGGCTGGTCCAGCAGCAGCCGCAGCAGGCCCAGGCAGCTGGCCTGCGCCGTCCCCAGCTCGGCCACCACCGGCAGCATGGTGGCGCACACGTGCGTCAGCTGCGTCAGGCAGATGTCGCCGCGACTGCCCAGCTCGGCCAGTAGCGGCCGGCCCGTGTGGCGCAGCAGCTGCTCCGTGGTGTGCAGCGTGTAGGCGCACGTCTGCAGGGTGAGCAGCGGCACCCGGCGGTCCCCCAGCTCCACACGGCCGTCCAGACCCACCTGAACGGAGCGAGACGGAACGGAACGGCGGTCAGCAAACGGCCGGGCACAGTACGGCAAAACTATCACAGTTATGACCTACAAGATATTCCAGCATAAAAATTTCTTCGTAACTTCGTACATCAAAAATATGATCTAGAGTTTATTTCAGTCGTATGGAGCTCCATCCTGGAACCCGATCTAACAGCGTCCAACAGACAAAGAAGCACATAGAAAGTTACTCCTGAGAGAGGCGGTCTGTCGGTGCCACACGGAGGAGGTTTTACGACACGCCAGTTCCTCATACGTACCATGCAGGGAACCATGGCGAATGTGATCATCATCTCGCGAGTGGAGGTGGGGATCTCGGCTATACGGTCACCGAGACGCACCTGCGCTCGGAACTGGTTCCCTGAAACGACACAGACAAGGTAAGACCTCGATTTTCAACTAAAACCATGGATCCTCTGAGACAGGGGCTCAATGAGACTGCAGGAAGTCAATGATGAAATGACAGGCATTCAGCGTATTGAACTACCAGTAAAACGCCTTTTGGGCGAAGGACGAGCGAGCGAGAGAGTGAGCCCTGCACGTGCAGAAGGGCGAGAGGGTACTTCCAACGGGCTTGTGCAAAGCACCCTTCTAACCGGTCGCTAGCGGTGTACCAAATTTGAACGCAATCGGCCCAGCCGTTCCTGAGATCTGGAAGCGGCATTCTGCACGTGCGCACGTGCAAACGGGGTCCAAAATGACTTTTGCACGGCACCCTACTAACCGGTCCCCAACCGTGTACCAAATTTGAGCGCAATCGGCCCAGCCGTTCTCGAGATCTGGAAACGCCCCCTGCACGTGCGCACGTGCAGTAGCACCCTAACCGCAACACATGGGAATGCATTGCCTGGTGGTTGCCTACCTGTATGCCAAGTTTCAGCGAAATCGCCCCAGTAATTACCGAGTTACTGAAATGGGAACAAATTTGGCACCTCTTATTGTTGTATTTTGCACGTGCAGTGGGGGTCACTCACATAGATGAAGAGTATCCGACCTTTGGTAGAAGGGATGCAGCTACCCTACAAAAATTACCGCAAGTCAATCACCCAAGCGGCTGCTGATATATGAGCCTCTCAAAATCACTACTTTTGCAAAACAGCTTGAACACCCTTGACTTTTCACGTGGCACGTGCCACGACGGTCACTGAGATGTATCAAAAGTAGTCAATTACGGGGTAGAAGGGATGGGGCTACCCAACAAAAAAGACCGCAGGCCAATCGGTCCAGCGGTTGCTGAGATATAAGCCTCTCAAAAGCGTTACAGGCCGGGCCGGGCCGGGCCGCTCATACTGAGATTTTTCCGTTATATTGAAAAGACTCACTTCGCTCGCTGCGCTCGCTCGCTCGTAATAAGCCTCAGTCCCAATAAATGTAGAGATGGATTATTTGCCACGAATGGATTAAAAAGATGTTATTAATAAGAATATAACCACACGGAGATCAAAGAAAACAAACTAAACATATGCAGCTGCAGCTCGTAGTGTTTATCTAACATATAATTGAGTAGCGATTCTTCAAAAATTCAAAGCACTGGTCGAACCGCTCAATCGCCCTCGCTCAGCCGTCGGCGCCACCGTACCTTCGCGCTGCGTCATATGTTTGAGGACGGTCTTGAGGCCGGGGCTGCGGTACCGAACGCGGCGCTGCTCCACGCTGTGGTCCGCTCCCGGAGACTCATCCACCTGCACCACCTGGGCGGGCAGACGGCCGTCAACGAACGGTCAATGATCGGTCAGAGGGCGGGGCGGGCAACAGCGGAACATATGGAGGCCAACGGTCAAATACACAATACTGGTGCTAGGTGTATAGTTGCAGCAAAAATCAGCGTAAGGTTGAGGCTGAATAATTATACCTTGTTAATTAAAACGTGTCTCTCAAACGCCTCAGCGGGTTGATAATCCATTTATTCCGATAAGCAGTTGATAATCCGACTACCTGGCACCTTTATTCCCTCCCTCCCTCCCTCCTACTACCCGTTCCACCCACCGTGTGCGCGCAGGCCAGCTGGAGCCCCTTGACCCAGACGTTGATGTTGTCGGCCGGCGGCCGGTCGTCGCCATCGAGCGCCACCATGCGCGCCGGCACCAGGGGCACCACCGTGTTACTCAGACACTGGCACAGCGGGCAGAGGAACTCGCGCTTCTGCACGTCGTAGCTCATATTGTGCCGCAGCCTGCCGGCGTCAGACGGGTAGTGTGTGAGAGGTGAGAGCGGCGGACAGGGAGTGGTGGAGAGCTAGTCAATAACGGCCACAACAGGCCGGCAACAGGCCACATAATTCAGCTGAAAGCCACAAGCAAGAGGGACATGGCTGAACAACATACCATTCACATATGCAGTGATTAAGTCGCTTTATCCTTCAATACCGTTGAGTGTCTTGTGTCTACTGGTGCTGAGATAGCCATATGAAATCCATTAGATCCTAATCCATAAACCAGCAGCATGCCAATTATTAGCGAGTTCGTCACACTGCGTTCGCATGTAATCTGTAATAGGTACTACTCTATCCGCCTCTTTGACCGTCTGTCTCTCTACCTCAGTCCCGCTCCCCGTCTACTGCCGCCGGTGAGTCCCACCTGTGCGCGCGGCGCCGCTCGCGCTGACAGACGTTCTCAAAGTGTCGCTGCCAGCAGGCGGCGTGCATGGCGTGTCCGCAGCTGGAGGTGTGCGGCAGTCGGTGCAGCGAGCTCGGCACGTACAGCACCGGGTTGGCCGCCGTGGACGCCCGGTCCCGGGACAGCACCGTCGACAGCTGCACGAACGCCGCCATCACCATGGCCGGCCGCGTGCTGGACACCTGCTCGGTGGCCTGGCACAGGATGCACGTGTACTCGGCGGGTGCGGCCGGCCGCGCCGACTGCCGCGGGCCCAGACACACGGGCCACCGGTCCGGCTCGGCGCCCTCGCTCAGGTCCATGGCCGACCCGGTGACGGCGGCCGCCCGCTCGGCCGACAGCGCGCCGCTCGGCTCCGCCTCCTCCGGCTCGGCCAGCGCCGTCATGTTCTGCGTGATGAACTTCTTCTGCTGCGCCTGCATCTGGCCGAGGATGCGGGCGCGGCGGGCGGCCGCCTGCGCGCGCCGCTTCTTCTGTTCGCTGCCGGCCTCCTCCGAGGTGGACGGCTGGCTCTCGGGAGCCGCCGCCGTCCGGCCCAGCAGACGGTTCAGCTTGGCGTTCACCCAGGCCAGCAGGTCGGCGTGGGAACTCACTCGGGGATTGCCCACCTGCGGCGAGAAACATCACATCAGTGACGAGACGACGGAGCATTTACACAACACCCAGGATTGGAATCAATACAAGTTACCGTTTTGCGTCTACCGCGTGGCATTACTCCTTGCTACGCACCATGTTCTGGAGGGCGTCCACAATGCCGCACTGCTGCGCCGGCTGCGAGAAGCAGAAGGCGGGCGGCTGCTCGGGCGGCCCGGCGTCGGCCGTAGCGCCGGCCGCCGATCGCTCCTCCTCGTTCAGCGCCAGGCCCATCAGGAACAGCGCGCGCTGGAAGAGCGTCTCGGAGAACACCCGCGCCGTCAGGTCCGCCGATCTGTCGGGAAAAGGCGGGGACAAACCGTCAGAGAATGGAGAAGGACGACAAATGCGCTCAAAACACGCGTCAGTCTGACCAATAGGAAATGCTTGGGCATGCTCGCGAGAACTTCAAATGCAACACAGAGCTCAGATACATCGCAAAAGAAACGATGCAATTCTACCAACAGCAGCTTAAGCACCCTTTCAGCTTTCATCCTCCCTCTGATCCTGTCCCACCCTCGACAAACAGAAACAGTCAGCCCCACCCACCTTCACATAACCCGAAGTGCTATACAGGCAAATTGTTACACGAGTGTCAACTGTCATACTCACCGTCTCCCCCCTCCATCTCCCCCTCCCCCACCCCGGTCCCCCACCTCCTCAGCACGGTGAGCAGCACGTCCAGCATGGCGCGGCACACGGCCACGTTGCGCGCCGCCCGGAACTCGGGAGTGAACGGCGGCAGCTGCGGCGGCGGCAGGCACGCCGGCTCGTCGGCCAGACGCTTCCGGCGCCGCTGGGCGCCCTCGGCACGCGACTGCTCCTCGCGCGTGTAGTGGTACCAGAACGGGTTGTAGTCCGAGTACAGCTCTGCAGGCGGAGCGGCCCGGGACATGGGGCAGTTGACAGTGTCAGCGTCAGTTGACGTCCATCCCCGGCGCTTAATAACATCATTCTAAAAACACTTCACGATCAACAACAATGAAATTCATCGACTGCGTAAACATATAAAGGTCGCCGTCCACTGGTAAGGCGCGCACATTTACGCACTGAATTTAATATTGGAGCCTACGGACTGCGCGCTGACGGCAGTTCAGTGCCGAAAGCGACGAAGCGCAGTCAGCTAATTATCCGTCGGCTGGTCGGCGCCGAATACGCGCTGTCGAGTTGAAATAATTGAAGTTTTTAGCGCGCTAGGCGCTGAACGATTGCGCGCTGAATACGCGCCTAGCCAGTGGACGGCCACCGTAACTGTCACGGTAAGGGCAAACCCAACAACCACCCTTCAAAAGTGCTTTCGTATTCTCTTTACGCCCCTCTTTACACCATCCAGCCATTCATCATTCGGCTCAGTCACTCATCCCACCCCTGCTTGTCGGCCCTCATGAGACCGTCCTCACTTGTGACCCCTCCAGCCCATATCGGCGTCTCACCTGGTTTGAGCTCGTAGACGCCCTTGCCGGTGCCGTTCTGGGGCAGCTTGAACTCGGCCACCTGGTCGGCCAGCTGCTCGATGCTCACGTTGTGGTTCTCAGCCACCACCAGCTTGGAGAGCTTCGAGTGCGGCGTCGGCTCGATGCACAGACACTGGATGATCTGGAGACGGGACAACAGACACTGAGTGATCTAAATCAGACGGCGGGCGGCGAGGGTCAACAAGGGTGACATCGGAGACTCGAGGCTGGGACGGCGGGCGCGACGGTGTTTGATAGCAAAACAAACCGAAATATTACTTTAAAAATATAGGTTTAATTCAAAACAATACATAAGGCAAACGTTGACAGTCATCATCATCACCTTTCCATTCCATTCCAAGAAAAAACAACTTTTCTAGGCAGATCTCGTCTCTTCCGATAAGCAAATCATCTCCCTTTTTATACCATCCCGGACAGTCACTCTCCCGCCCGTTGTCTCACCTCCTTTTTGAGGCAGTCCCCTCCTCTCCCACACATCAACTCACCTCCTTTTTCAGGCAGTCCTCTCGAGTCACCTCTCCGACGCCGGGCTGGTAGCGCTCGCCGAACACGTGGATCAGCACGAGCATCATCTCCTCCAGGTTGTGGGTGAACTCCTGCACCGTCTGCACGAAGTTGGTGACGGTCTTGCCGCCCTCCTGCACCGTCTCGACAAAGTAGGTCACCGGCTCACCGTCCACCTCAGTGGTCTGGTGGCAGTTAGGGAAGGGGTTATGTCGGCTGGTGGGACAGCGGGGTACAAGTGAGGGTCCGGCGGAGTGCAGAGGGTCGGGTGACTCCCGGATGAGCAGCTCCCAGTGATGAGCGGCATCAGCGAATTACGTACTAGTGAGCTGGGCTCTACTGGTCTAGGCTTACGCTCGTAGAAAGTACTATCATCGCCCTTAATACACCCCCTCCCATAGCTCACCCGTCTCATGACGCCCTCGAAGTCGGGCGCCAGCCAGTGGTGGATGCCGTAGCGCAGCATCAGCGTCATGATAAACTCGTCCGGGTCCTCCAGCGCGGCGGCCATCTGAAGAATCTGCGGCGGGTGGAGACGAGGGTCAGGAGGGAGAAAGAACGCGATAAGGTGACCTATCGTGCAGTGTCCGGAAAGTTCAGACGCCCGTCTTGGACGTCGTCTAACGCGCGCTGAGATTAGTGGACAATCATCAGATCACCGCAGGAATGACCCCTCGTTGACCGGTCAGCCGAGTGTCGTGCAAATATGACCTTGAAACCGTGTTCAGTGATGGGCAGATGGATAAAGATGAGCCTTGTCGCTGGATGCCTGCGCGCGCTGCCGGGTGCGGCCTGAATGAGGAGCGAGTTGCAGTGCGACCGGTCCATCTCACCTGCACGTCACAGTACACCCCTGTACCTCCGTCTGTCTCACCTGCACGTCTAGAGTCCTATATCCCGTCAATCTTACCTGCACGTCTCTGTCCTGGATCTCGGAGCGGATGCGCACGTTGCTGTAGAAGTGCACCTGGCTGACCAGCGAGGTGCCGTTTCTACGCCACATACCCGCCCGCACCTGCACCGCACAGGGTAAGTCAGCAAGGGCGAGGCGGGCGGGGGATAATAGCAGCTGTGGCGGGGAAAAGGTGGACAATCTATCGGGGATGTTGCACGTCGTTATGTGCAGTTTGTGCCCAATTGATAGGCATTCATGAAGAATAACGCTTACAACGAGAAAAAATAGCACTTTTAGGTTGAGACCAAAGTAAACGAGGATAAACTACCGTCACCTGACGAAGAGCTGTGCTCGAAATCATTAATAAACAAGTGTTTGGATTTAACTTTTTTTAAACTACGAGGGTAAGGTCACTAATTAAAATGCTCTGATATGATCCTCGCACAAGCACTGAGAAACTTAAAGGATAAAATAAACTACCGTCACTCCTAATTAGCATCACAATTTTACATCGATTAAAATATCCAAGACTCGAAATATCAAACAAGGCTCTGACCACAACCTCACCCATCCAGTCAGTCAGTCTCCGATGTCCTGTGGGTCAGTCTTCTCACCTGTGTGGTCAGGATGACGGCGCGCAGAGAGGTCTCCATGATCTGCTGGATGGTCGGCCGGTCCTCCATTTCAAACTCGGGAGAGCCAAACTGCAGGCCGAACCGACCTGAGGGCGCGCTCACAGTCAGTCTCGGGGTGCCGGTTAGTCTCAGGGCGCGGTGGGTCAGTCAGGGCAAGTCATGGAGCTGTGAGCGTATGTGTGGGATTCACTGCATAGTGCACAGTGCACAGCCAAGACATGGAGGATATTGGGAACAGGCAAATTGTTGTGTGACAAATATTGTCCAGCAAATTACATATGTTTGCAACAGACATCAAACGAGGAGCGCATTTCTGCTGAGTTTCTGAAAGCCGCAGTAAAAATTATGCCCAGTGACGGATCTTATCATACTCATGACTAATTTTCAGTTGAAATCAAAATCCCCTCAACAAGCTATACATTATACAAGGTCGCTACAACTGCTTGTACCCAAGGCTATGTTTACGAACCACTCTCTCCTCCCGAACCGTCACCTTTCTCGTCCCCAGACAACAAACAGCTCCTACTCCACACCACATCTATCCTCCCCCAGGCGCGCTCACCGAGATGCAGATGCAGTCCGGCCAACATCCTGGTGAGCGGCAGATGCAGCGACACCGGCTTCTGCCACATGTCAAACTCGATGACGCGGAACGTCTTGCCGGCGGCGGTGACCGTGGCAGACGGACGAAGTCGCTCCTCACTCAGCTTGCCGTACAGCTTCCGTAGCACCGCGCTGGTGGAGGAGGGGGGGGGGAGTTAGAGTGGAGGGAGGTATCCCGGGCGGGTCAAGTAAGCAGAGTCCTTGGACAGGTCAGCGCTGGATGAAGTGATACAAGAACGAGATAATTTGGCCATAGTGGATTTCCAGGAACAAGACACAAGCGAAATGAATTTGAAACGTGAAAGAGAGAAACTGGACAACATCAAACTCTATGTCTAAAGCTCAGACTCACCAATTCTGACGATTCAATAAAATGCGCTGTCCTGCCCTTCAGTCACTAACTCAATCCCACAAACACACCGCAGTTATTATGACACTTTACCACCTAACACCCTCCCTCCGTCCAGGCGTTCCCCGTAGCCGCCCGTGCAGGCTCACCGGTAGGCCTTGACGAGCACCATGCGGTCGGAGCTGCACCAGTCCATCAGGTGGTAGATGACGATGGACAGCTTGCCGAACAGCGTGAACGCCGTCTGCCACTCGGGGTCGAACTCCAGGTGGTTGCCCATCTGACGGACCGACGAGTCCATCCCCTGGCGGCGGCAGAGCGGCGGCGGCGGTTAGATAACACACTGTAATTGGGTGGTACGATACCCTTAGTTCTACACAGGGTAAACACAAGTATATAAACGTTTAACATTGTTTACTTAGACTGTAATGATCTATGATGATTACACTGTAGACTAGACTTAGACTTAGGCTGTATGATTAGACTGTAATTGATACTTAGACTGTAATTGACGAACTGACATCGCTGAAAACAAGCACGCATATTACATTATTACTTATATGTATAATCATTAACAAGTAACAATCTACTACATCCAGATGAAGGTCACTGCACCTTCCCCACCAATGAGGCCACAATCACGGGGGGTGAATTCAGATGGCCCAGCCCCTCCTTTCCCCATCGCATCCCGCACCGCCACCGACCTCCATGACCGCCAGCACGTCCAGCAGGGCGTTGAAGCCGTGCAGGAATCCCTTGCGCAGCTGGTCGGTCCACTGGGGCGGCCGCATGTTGTTGAGCAGGTAGCGCAGGTCGTTCAGACAGTAACTGATCCGGCGCCATGTCGTGTTCGGACTGCGAGCGTCGAAACTCAGCACGCCCTCTGTGGAAACGGCGGGAGGACGGCGTCAGAGGGAGAGTTGGGGCAGACAGGGCAGAGGGGAAAATATACAGGGCAGACCGGGTAAAAAGCGCTAGGAGACCGCGCAGAGAAGGATAGAGCGGGAAAGTTAGGGGAGTCAGGGCCAGAGAGGGGAATGTAGGGGAAATGGCACAACGGGGACCGCACCGAAAAACAAACAGAACATGTAAGAATTGAAACCCATCTCCAAGGCTCGAATGGAAGAGCTTCGGCGCTTGACCTGAAAGTCACTACTGTCATCTCAGTAGTACTATCGAGAATGATCACTGACAGACTGCAAACGTCTGCTAAAATCCGATCACTCCACCCGCTGCCCAGTAACGGCCTTCTGGTACGGGCCCCACCCCGCTCAATCGAGCATCGAGTCCCCACAGCGACACAGCCCCCTTCTCCCCCCCCCCCTCCGTGCGCCACTGACGTGCGTTCCGTCGGTTGATGCACTCGTCGTAGAAGGTCCTGGTGACGACGAACAGGCAGTCCTCGTCGGTGATGAGCATGTAAGCGATGGTGGGCACCGTGTAGATCTGCACCGACAGCGACGTCACAGAGTCCGAGTGGTTGTGGTCGTCACACATGAAGTCGCGCATCAGCGCCGGGTACAGCCGGGTGAACGTCTGCGGATAGACAGAGGGGTCAGAGAGGTCATCAGCGCTTGGTACAGACGAGTGAACGTCTGTAGATAGACAGAGGGGCCGGGGGTCAGATGGGGTCAGAGGGGTCAGAGAGGTCATCAGCGCTGGGTACAGACGAGTAAGCGTCTGCGGATAGACAGAGGGGTCAGAAAAGGGTCAGACAGGGATAAGACAGGGGGTCCTCAATGCCGGGTACACGCATGTGAACGTCTGCGAACGGACGGCGGGTCCAGATGAGCTGTCACAAGTCAGACAGAGGTCAGACAGATCGCAGGGGTCAAATGGGTTTCGGTTGACGACACTTTAACGGGGTAATTGGTTACTCTGAGTGGCCAACCATCGCCTCCCAGCCCATGCACTAACCACTTCCATCGTACCTAACCAACCTATCCTCCCCTCGATCCACGGTGCCTGCGAACAGTACTAACCTTGGCGAAAACCTTTTTGCTGTCGTGTTCCATGAGCATGCCCTGGATGAGCAGCAGGTGCCACTGGTTTCTGGCCAGCTTCCACAGCTGGGTGTCCGACTTCATCACGCGCTCCAGTACCGGACCGTCCGCCGCCGGCTGCCGGAAACGTTGCCATGAAACAGGTCAGAGGTCATACCGGTAAGGGCAGGTGTCACAGGTCACTGAGCTGACGCACAAAGGGTAACAGGCTTGGATAGGTAAGAGGTCTGGTCAGGGGTCAAATGTCACCGGACCGTCCGCCGCCGGCTGCCGCACACACGGGGTCAGAGGTCAGGTGAGGTCACAGGCCACGGTAGAGGTTATAGGTCACGGACCCGTCCGCCCGCCGCCGCCGGCTGACGTACAAAGGGTCAAAGGTTTGGATAGGTCAGAGGTCAGAACAGAGGCCAACGGTCACAAATCAGGACAGGGGTTGCATTAACTGAGTCAGGGTCAGTCACAAGTCCCATGTCACACGCGCCCGTGACCAGAAAAGTCTACTGAGTAGTTCAAACGAAACCCCACGGGCGATGCCGCCAGTTTATTTGCGGAAAACTAGCAGCTCTTTAGCAGAGGGTGGAATTTCACGGCGCAGTGAAGCATTGCCGATTTCAGGGACGTATTTCAGTAAAAACTACGAAGACATACCTTTAAATAGCATAAATATAACCATACGTCACCCGACGGCGCCATATTTGTAATGTTACAAGGTCGATGGACCAAAACAATCTAGAAGATACGATCGCAAGTTTTCCGGGAAGAGTATCACATCGAACTAATGCACCGCCAAGCCAACCCCGCACACCTAAAAATACTCATCCGTGACAAACCACCCTTGCAACCGTCTCCCCCTAACTGTTTTTCCCTTGTTCACGTTCCGATGGTCATCGTTGTGCGCTGTGCCAATGAAAATGCTCGCAGCAGATTTACATGACCCGATGACGAGTGCCGTTACGGAACCAGCTGAGGGGTGCCCGCTGATCCCCTTTACGGGAACCGCTGAGGGTGGGTGCGCTGATCCCCCTTTACGGGACCCGCTGAGGGGTGCTCGCCGATCCCCCGTTATGGGACCCGCTGAGGGGTGTATGTATGGTAGGTAATCCATTGTTACAGGACCCGCTGAGGGTGGGTGCCCGCTGATCCCCTGTGATGCGCTACCGTCGGCCGACATTTCCATTTCCAAGGCCGTGCTCCCGACGCCGGGCACTTTCACTGTTTCCGGCGGCGGCGGCGGCGGCGGCGCGGGCGGCGCGGTGACGTGAGAGCGCGCGCCACAACGCCCGCGCCCGGCGACGGCAGAACGCGCGCCCCGGAACCACGGGTGGAGATCGCAGCTAAACTGGATTAGAGCGGGCTTCTCTGTGAGCTTCTGTGGTTTTTCAGTGATATTTAACAGGGGAAAGGAAGGTGAATGCGTTTTTTTAGCTTGTTTCTTGATAGGCACGGTCAACAGACGCGACTACCCAAGAAAATGCGAAACAAGGCCAGACAAAAACTTAAAATCCACCTTCATCAAGCCTAGAAAAAATTGAGACTTCAATAAGAATTAGAGGTAAAAATGATTCAATACTACAACCGCGATTGTTACGTGGTTTTCGGTATATAAATGCGTTCAGCCGAAAAAGGAAAACGATCGTACGCCCCAGATGTTTACACTGAGCAGTACTGTTCTGATAAAATACTGAAAGCAGAGGTCATAGCGTCACACTATTTCACATGCTAGTGCCATGAGTTGCCTCAGCGACACAGTAGCCGCCCGACACTGCACCAGCATCTACCCTACCAGCGACAGCTCTACAAATAATAAACGAAACCCATCCACGACATCATTCAGCCACACATCTGCGGCGCTAAAATAATAAGCCACGATCGACCGGCGTAAAACAGCCGCTGACCTCCAGCTGCAATACTGAAAGCTACCACTGAGTTACAACGTAAATATCTCGCTGAGCGACAACTAACCTCAGTGACGATCTGGCCGAACAGGGTGCGGAAGCCGTCCACCTCCTCGATCAGCTTTTTCAGCCAGAGCAGCAGGCGCATGGCGAACGTCTGGTGGGCCACCACGTGCGTGTGCATCACGTGCACCTTGTAGGGTCCGCTGCTGTGACGTACCGAGTGGTGCTCAAACACCTGCTTCGCCTTGTTGCACGTCTGAGGGGTGGTGCAGAGAGAGGCGTCAGCGTCTAAGAGGACTGTTTACAGACACACGGGGCGTCAGAAGCTGTGTGTGTGTGTGACGTGAATGTGGAGGGCATGGGGGTGGGGGGGTCAGAGACGTCAGCAGGGGATTGGACAGAACGAGGCACGGTATCGCATGTCCCTGGGGATGAAGCAAGGAGATAAAATCAGGTTTATCGGGGATGACACACAGGGCAGCGGTTTCTGACACGTCTGTGGGTTTTGTACGGAAAGAGACGCGGTGTTACACTTTAAGAGCATTGCACAGACAGACATGTAACACAAGGGGCGGGTGTTACATGGCTGTGGGGATCGCAGGTACGAATAACGGCGCGGAGTTGCAGAGGAGCGGCGGGAATCATACCGCTAGGGTGTTTCACGACCGTAGGGATTGTGTAGATAAGAGCTGGCCACTGTTACGCCATGTTCGTGGCACTCACAAGCATGCACATTGCACACTAGTTACATAGCTGGTTGCCAAGCCTTCAGTGTCAACACAGTAAAATGGATTACTAAAAACACATTACCTGCAAAATATCGCATACAATGAGAGAAAAGCGCAGAATATATGCTCATCAGTCAAGCAACGAGCGCTAGTTTCATAGAAAGCGTATCAATAACTATCACTGGACTACTGCCAACGCTCCGGTTATGTCCCCCGTCGACCCCCAGTGTCGGACGGTGTCGGCCCAGTCCTGCCGCGGATGTCGACCCGGGAGCGGCCGGCCGGTCGGCCAGCGCGCTGAATCACGGAACGGCCGCTCCGCCCCGCACGGCAGTCCACGAACACGGCCGAAAGCCGCCGCAAAAAAAACGTGTCATCGCCGTGTCCAGTGGGCTAAATACGGAGACGGACCGCGAGCGGCAGCGGGCGGAGGCGGCCGGCCGCCCGGAAAAAAAAGGCCGCCAGCGCCACGGCGGACACTCAGTGGTCCGTAGATGGACAGGACGCCGATGGTGCCATCCACCGGCCCAGCACGGGACGAGAGGGATATGAGGGGCCTGGTGACACCCAGAGCACTGTGATGTATACCGGTCCAAACATCCCCTACCCTTAGCCATGTATCGGGTTCAGTCATGTGATGAGAACAGTGTTACATCACGTGCAGATTGGATTACTTTGCAACGCGTTTCTTTTGCCAATTTTGTCAACTTGAATACTACCTTAATGTGTGCAAGTCACGTAAACAGGGAATGTTTTTGTCCACATAACTGATATACCGTGTCACTATTTTACCTAAACAATCACTGACGCTATGAGAAAATGTCAGATGACAGATCAGCAAACGGGCAGCACTAGAAACCACTAAGCCACTGCATTTTGTGGTCAGTGGAAATCACACAAACACAATATTTACGCGAAAAGCAACCGCACGATTAAAATGCAGTGACATCCCTAGACCCATCATTTTCATCATACCTATGAACTGCATCACCATTCACCAGCTTCAGTCTACATTCCTGAGAAGTCATCATGATCGTGCTAATCCACCGCGCCGTACCAGGCCACTGAATTTCTAAGACGTCACCACAAACACTCTACGGTACAAACGCTGCCGTTCTGTAACCGACATCGCTCCGCCCACCGGCACCGCAGTCACACAACGACTCTGGAGCGGTGCTGGCATAGAATCCCCGCTCCCAGCTATATTCCGTCCGACTCTGGAATCACTGTCCTGTGTCCCGCCCAGCGCACTGCCATCAGCCGCTGCAGCCTCGGCTGTGAATGAGCTGGAGGTCGCCGCACACAACCACACTGTGTCCGACCGGCCCTGAAATCAGTCCACCCCCACCGGAGGACATAGCTCTCGATCCCGGCAGTGACTGACCTGGAAGTCGCCGCACTTGACGATGCTCCGCCCGACCCGGTCGATGATTGTGGCGTAATCGACGGCGTCTCGCTGCGAGCACTCCACCGCCCGCCGCAGGCACTCGATCACCTGTTACAGGTCACAGAGGTCACTCACAGCACACAGAGGTCAGAGAGAAACAGAGTAAAGGAAAAGGATAATTAAGGTATCGATAGCGAGACGAAGGTTACACAACAACCACAAAGCTTCGTATTCGGTCAAATAAGTGGCCGATGCCTAAACTATTTACACATAAATACACAGCGAAACCAGAATAAGGAGACTCAAGTGATATCAACACCATAATTGGGCCATCAGACGGAAACACAGCTCATTACAGCATACCTGTCGCATAACCAAACGACTCATTGAATTCAGCAGCTCGAAAGTCACTGATAACAACTATGTACATTGTACAAATAAAACAACAAGACCCTACCATGACTAAGGCCACGCACTCAAATAATCTCACCACGACCCACTTGCACAAATACCAAACACACATCTTCCACACCCATCCCGTCTGTTTGTCACTCCCCGCCCCACCGCCGGCCGCGCTGACCTGTTCGAACGTGTGCGTCTCGTCGTTGTAGAACATGGTGACGTAGAGCGGCGTGCGCAGCGGCTCAGCGCCCGACAGCAGGTCGTCAGCGTCACCCTCCTGCTCCAGCGGAGAGCGCAGGTCGTGCGGCAGACCCATCGTGTTCTCGTGGGTCAGCATCTCCAGCGAGTAGTCCAGCACTGGGGACGCGTGTTGGGAGTGGCGTTAGAACGGCGAGACGGTTAAGGGGAGTGGGGAATCCGTGACCGTTGCTCACCGGCAATATTGGTGTCACTAAGCAATAAAAAATATATCTATCGGAATGAACTAACTATCGGAACTAGCTTAAAGGGACCCTCCCACCTTAACATTAGTTTTGAGTTGAGATAGCCAAGTTTGCGGCTAGGCTCAGAAACCACCATTTATCCTGGTCGCAACCCCCGCAGCTTTATGGTGTTCAAGAAATTTCTTCCCTTTACTTGCAGGGTGGGACCAGCGTGGTCCCTATCTCTTAACCATTACGGGAATCTGATGACGTCATCAGGCTTTCGAACGTCCGTTAAATGTTTGACTAAAACGTTTTGTAGCACGCGGTGGTATATGCTGCTTTGCGCGCAACAAATGCCGCACTTTCAAATAAAGTCGCTAGGAACAGCGGAGATCGCAAAAAGTAAACAAAAGTAAAAGTCTAATATCTTGAAAACCGGTGAATATTTTTCGATGAAATTTGGTAGATATTCGTTTTTGCTCTTTCTGAACCGAGCGACATCACTTTCATGCCAATTCATTAACTTTTTTTAAGGTGGGAGGGTCCCTTTAACAGCTTCTCCAAAGGAAGCATACAAAATGACGCTTTGTTGTCTTCCTGGGAACGCATAACAGGTCATTCATCATTTACATCTTCCAACCTCAGCAGAAACTTAAACTGAGCAGGATCCCAACCGACGCTCCACACAGCAGTCTGCGCACACGGCCCGCCCTGGCCCGACGGCCACTCACCGGCGGAGAAGACGGCGCGCGCGCGCTGCACAATCTCCGGCGGGAACTTGAGCAGCGAGCTGGTGCCACCGCCGACGGCGTTCCGTTCGTGGATGCTACAGCAGAAGCTGTCCTTCCAGGCCTCGCGGTCGCCGCAGTCGCAGTAGCCGCCGCCCACTGACTGATTCATCTTGTACCTGCGCGGCCGGACGGGGCCCAACACCGCGCTGTCAGTCAGGGGTTAACCTATCTGGCTACTTAACTACTTCAGATATCATTGAATGATATGAATGATATGAAATCTCGGATTTCGTTTATGACCACCGAGAACATAGACACAATGGTTAGTCAACAAGTTACAACCTTGTGATAGCTTTTGTTCATATCCGAAATAAAAGCAGAATCGAGGAGGAAAAACCGGCGATCGAGAGCACAACGATAAGCTGTTGACGCCGGTGGTTCAGCCCTGGTGAGGTAGGTTCTGCACCGCGGAGATCGGGCCGCGATGTACCGTAGCGCGGCAGCTCGGGGCGCGACTCGCCTGTGCTGCTGGTGGGCGGAAGCGGCGAAACAGTCGCGGCAGAGCACGCACGTGCTGTCCTGGCCGCAGTCGCGGCAGCTGTACGTGGCCTCGCCCATGCGGAACACCTTGCCGCACAGCGCCGCCGGCGTGGTTAGCTCCTTGAGGTGCTGAGGAGGTCAGAGGTCAGGGGTCAGAGCCGAGCCGACAGCGACGCCGACGGCCGCAGCCGCGCCGGGTGGCAGCACCCACTCACTGCCCTACATGTCCTGCATTAAAAATACCATGAGGTAGATGTGGTCAATATTACTTTGAACAGCATCTCTGCAGAACTGCTCAGCGACGGCCTGGACGAAGGGGGGCGGTTTGTAGTATGGGAGGAAACACGCGTCCTCTGTGATTGTGCTAGATATGCTCATTGCTCGACCTCAGCGCACTGATACTAAAGATATGGGCATCATCGTTTCACAAATCTATCAGGGCCTTTGCCATCAAAACTACCCAACGGAAACGCAGATTATCCACGTCTGAGTTTACATAGATTCACTTCATAACGGCGAAAAACTACAACCAAACGATAAAAAAGTAGCACAGCATCCAGTGAGCGGTGCCCCAAGTGCTAGCCAGAGCGGTGCTACACGGACGCAGCTACCAAGCTGCTAGCGCATTTCGCGAGCTGACGTCACAGGTTGTGGTAGTATGAGAGCGGCCGAATTTGTTGATGTCTCCATGGAAACCAAATTCGCTACGTGTGCTGACACTAGCGTGTTAGCAGCGGCCGTGAAACACCGCCCTAAACTTCAAATCCAAAGGAAAGACTAACCTTTAACACTTCGGCCGGGTTGTCGATGCAGATGAACTGTTTCAGTGTATCGAAAAGCAGCTTCTGTGCACTGTCGTCATCGTAGCTGATGTGCAGAAAGTTGGTGCTCTCGTCGGGGGCATAGATGGTCGGCACGTGCAGCTTCCAGTATTCCCTGGAAAGTAAAACGGCGATACATCAGGTCAGCATGATGGATGACAGGAAAAAAAACTTGTTCTGCATTACTCAAGGGACTAATGAAGACTAACACAAAGAATATGCTTGAAATCAGTGCCATGGAACAGCATGATACTTTGCTAAAATACAAATTGACAAACACTAATAGGACTACTGTTGACCTTAGGGTCTGTTCCCGTCGCTCCTCCCAAAAAAATCTCGGATGAGGTTGGAGGAGCTTGGAGGAGAGCCGTTTCAGAGGAGCCACGGGAACATTTTCGCGAGGAAATCAGCTGTTTGCGGGCTGCAACGGTCGGCGATTTATGGCGCTCAAACATAAATCAAGAGATAATAACCGTTTTCTAATAAAATAATCTTAGATTAATATCAAACATTACTATTTAAAGATATCCAATCGTCATCAATCACTAAAATTATTTCCACTTCCCTCAAATCTCATTTATAAACAATTCACATTTGTATTACGTGCGCCAAATATGTCTACGCAAGAGCCTCCTCCAAAAAACCAACTTTCGTTTGGGATGAGGGAGGAGGCAAATAGTGGTGGTGAGATGTGAAATCAAGATGAGCTTGGAGGAGCTTGGAGGAGCGACGGGAACAATTTTTTGAAACGAGAGGAGGTTAGAAGAGCTTGGAGGAGGTTAGAGGAGCGACGGGAACAAACCCTTAATGAAGTGCAAAGAAACTGCTAAACAAATTACCAGCTGATGCACATTACAAGAAAACAATAGTACATATGTGCCTTGGTTAATGGTTAGTACACCTTTTTGCATTTGAATTCGACCATGAGCCATGGCCACAACTGTTTGAGGAGCCATTTCGACAATCGGCATTGAGCACAACTATTCCGGCGCTGTGTCTTATTCAACCCTCGCATGTGTAGGGGGGGGGGGGATCGGATGGACCCCCCTGGTTTTTCGCGAATAACTCGCGCAAAAAGCGGCCGATCGCGAGAAACTTTCAGTACCCTCGAGTTGATCAATTTTACACCTACTCTGAAAATTTCATGACCCTGACCCAAGTGACCTTTGACCTGTGACCTATTTCTCGAGGCCATGTTTGGCCAGAATCGCGATTCGGCGTATGTCGGCTCGCATTAGCCGCGCGTTTGCAAGCTTCTCGTGGTTTCAAACGCTCAAACATGAGATTTGGTGTTGCTCCCATGCATTTGGGTGGATGTCAAGGTCACCTGAAGGTCAGGTCAGGTCAGGTCATTGACCTTTGGTGACCTCACCACCCTTGTGGCGCAGTTGGCAAGTGCGTTCACGTTTGGTGTGGGAGGTCCTTGGATCAAGGCTGACCTCTGGCAGCGTTTTCCTCGGCCGGCTCCTACCCAGGAGATGGCAGTAACTGGGGAGTGTTCGCTCGGTCGTGGGGATTACCGCTGTGCCAGCCAGCGCCCCCGGCCGCAGGTACACGGGCCTGATCCGCCTTTAAATGGACTATCCCACCTTTAACATGGGGTTTGAGTTGAGATAGCCAAGTTTGCGGCGAGGTTCAGAAACCACTATCTATCTAGGTTGCAACCCCCGCGGCCTCTTGGTGTTGAAGAAATTCGTTCTTCATTTGAAAATGGGCCTTGCACAACACGGGCGTAGGAACGTCATGAAAAGTGGGTGGGCCACCCTGTCAAGGGGCCTCCTTTTCCAGGGGGCCTCCTTTTCCAGGGGGCCTCCTATTTTCAGGGGCCTCCAACTTTTGCCTCGTCCTGCTGACTGCTTTCAAGTATGACCTCCAAATCTAGCTTCTGAGATCGGGCAGATGTACCCAGGGGCGTAACCGCTTAAGCGAACGATGCGGAAAGTCCGCACCATTTTTAAAACTTATTCCCCCTCCGATTTTTTTTTTAGAATCTATTTGCCACAAACGGCGCATGACCCCTGAAAACCCTTACAGAAATGTCTTCCTCGTTTCCCAGGTGCCCCCATTAGCTTCATAGGCGCCCTCTTTGGCATATAAGCGCCCTTTAATCATCAGAGACATCCCTATATGTCCCACAGTCGCCCCGTTGTCGCATACAATGTGCGCTTATCAAAGGCGTCTCTCTTTTATGGACACTTGAAGGCGCCTCTCTTTGCCATGCCGGCGCCCCTGTTTCTTATGAATGCCCCCCTCCCCCCCCCCCCATGGCATTGATCAATTGCAGACCTCTATTGCATGTGAACGCCCATATATGTAGGTCTCAGAGGCGCCCCTCTTTCGCATTGAGGCGCCCCTAGGGGCTTCATAGGCGCCCCTCTATTGCACGTAGGTGCCCTACTGTCTCAGAACCGCTCCCCTTTGGCATGCAGACGCCCATCTTTCGTACGGAGGAGCCGCTGTGGTTCTTAGAGACCGCATGGTGCTCCCAGACGCAGATGGGGCTCTCGGTGTCGACAGTGTGGGACTTTCAGTCGCTGATGGTTGCCCGCCAGATGTGGACCCTCGGAGATGCCGGTATGGGGCCCTCAGAGATGCCGGTATGTGGGCCTTAGAGACACCGGTGTGGAACCCTCAGATACTTCAGTGTGAAGCCCTTACAAGTGCTGGTGTGGAGCTATGAATGCGCTGGCTTAAATCCCTCAGAGGCCGGTACATGGACATTAGAGCTCAGTGAGAGCTTGTGTGGTGCCTTCAGTGGCCTTGTGGAGCCGTTAGACATCAACATGGTGCTCTCAGGAGCCGGTGAGTCCTCAGAGTCAAAGGTGTGGGGCCTTCAGAGCTCCGAGATACTGGTGTGGGGCCCTCAGAGGTGTCGGTGTGGGTCCTTCAGATGTACCTATAGAGCCTTGAGATGCACAGGTGTGGTGGCCCACAGAGGCGCCGGTGTGGGGCCCCCAGAGCCACCGATATAGGGCCCTAAGAGACACTAGTATGACCCTCAAAGGCGCCGCTGTGTGGCGCTCATAAACACTGGTGTGGAGCCATAACAGGCGGGTGGAGCCGTTAGAGGCCGGAAAGGGCCCTTAGATGCCTACAAGGAGCCTTCAGAAGCCAGCGTGACACCCTTATAGGGATAAGCGTGTCTACCTATCCATCAGGAGCCCTTGAGGTGCTCTCATGAGCTCTGTGGGGCCCTACCGAGCCGAACTATGGCCACGGCCAGTTGCCGCCGCATGGCTCTTCGGACTATCATTCTCAGGGGCCTCATCTGCCTAGTTTGAATAGAAGGGCCTCTCAGACCATCAGTCTCATGGGCCTCCTCTGGCTAGTATAAATAGAAGGGCCTGAGTAGACCATCAATCATAGGGGCCTCCTCTGGTTAGTATAAATAGAAGAGCCTCTCAGACCATTAATCTCAGGGGGCTCCTGTGGACAGTATAAATAAAAGGGCCTCTCAGGCCATCAGTCTCGGGGGCCTCCCTAGAAAAGTGTAAATGTGGATAGAGGGCCCCCTTAGATTCATTAGGAGTGGACCTCTCTGACTACCAGTCTCAGGGGCCTCTCGTGGCCAGTATGAATATAAGAGCCTCTCAGACCATCGGTCTCAGGGGCCTCTTCTGACTAGTGTGGATAGAGGGCCCTCCCAGACCATCGGTTTCAGGGGCCTCCAGTGGCCAGTTATATGAACAGAAGGGCCTCACAGCCATCAGCCTCGGGGGCCTCTTCTGACTGGTGTGAATATGAGGGGCTCTCATACCATCAGCCTCAGGGGCCTCCTCTGCCTAGTGTGAATATAAGGGCTTCCCAGGCCATCAGTCTCAGGGGACTCTTCTGACTGGTGCCGGATTGAGGGACCTCCCAGACCGAAAGTTTTGGGGGTTTCCTGTGGCCAGTATGAATAGAAGGGCCTCTCAAGTCTCAGTCCATCAGTCTCATGGGCCTCTTCTGCCTGGTGTGATTATAAGGGCCTCTCAGGTCATCAGTCTCAGGGGTCTCCTCTGACTACAGTGTAGATGGATAGGCCTCCCAGACCATCAGTCTCAGGGGCCTCTTCTGACTATTGAGGATAGAGGGGCCTCCTCTGACTAGTGAGGGTAGGGGGCCTCGGCTAGACCGCCAGTGTCAGGGGCCTATTCTGACTAGTCTGGATGGAGGGGCCTCCCAGACCACCAGTCTCAGACCTCTGACTAGTGGGGATAGAGGGGCCTCCCAGACCGCCAGTGTCAGGGGCCTCCCCAGACCAGTGTGTATATTGGAGCCTCCTCAGATCCACTAGGGCCTCTCAGGCCATCAGTCTCAGGGGCTTCGACTGACAAGTATGAACAGAGGGCCTCCTTGGATCCATCACGGCCCCTTGGAGTCCGTGCGTGGGGATTCGTGGAACTTATTTTTACCGAGTTTGTTTATTCTGGAAGGTGACGACGTCCTCTCAAATCGAGACGAGGGGCCTCGAGTAAAAAGTGGGTGGGCCAAAACACATGGTTGGCCCCCCCACCTCGAAAAGTGGGTGGGCACTTGCCCACCTGGCCCCCCCTGTTCCTACGCCTATGTTGCACAAGGCCCTACCTTCAACATGGAGCGACCGTTAGTGTGACGTCACCTCGTTTAGTCATTCTGATTTAAATGGGTTTGTTCGTTGAAAAATCGCTTAAAACTTGGTCTGAACCTTGTTGTGGTGCCTACAGAGTAAAAAGAATCAGCTTTATGACAGTAATGTGGCCTGGGGAAGGAGGTAATTTTGGGCTGTGACGTCACATATTTGAATGTTTGTGTTTGGAATATGGGAAGCCTAAGAATGCCAGAACCGTGTTCCTGGTCATCCAATCTATAAAGTCGGGCACAATTTAGATGGTTTTAACAACATTTTAGAAGGTGGGATAGTCCCTTTAAACAGATCCTTCGGTCCGGTGACATGTCCCGAGGGCACGGCCTCGCTTCATGTCCCGGAGCAGCCCTCTGACCTGCCGGGCCCGAGAAATCGGGATAGCCCCAGCGTGCGCGCCAGTGCGGTGCCACCTGGGGTGCGTGACAGGAAACGTGCGGTCAAGGCTGTCCCGCGTAGCGGGTGCCGAAAACGATTCGTACCACTGCACTGCCGTGTATATAGTGTACTAACCCAGTATGAATGTGTGCTACTAACGACAAAAGCTCAGGTCGGGCAACAAAAATATTAAAAAAAGACCTTTGGTGACCTCGGTTCACTTTTTCGAGATGTACATACATGTTTCTAGGCTAGTTTTTTTTTTAGCTGAATTCGAATTTAGCAACCATTTGAACATTTACGAAGTAGTTTTGGTGCCTTCGTAACATGTTACGAAGCTGTCAGAGGCGGCTGACACGTACAGTATATCTAAAAAGTATGTCCCCTGGTTTGGCTCTCCCACAGGAGGCGAATCGGTAACTTGGCTGAATCCCAGTTGCGGCACCCGGCCGCCAGGGTCGCTGCCGCGCGAGCGGCCTTGACCGCTCGCATGTCATTGGCAGTTCGGTCCCTCCCCATCTATACCGAGGTGGGGAGGGGAGAAGAGGGGAAGAGAGGGGAGGGAGCGGCATCCGCTCGGCACTGGGCGATGCCTGGCTGACCCCGCGCTCCCTCGCTGACCTCCGTCCTGCCCTCAGGCGAAGACCGATTTCCTCGGCCCGTAGCGGCCGAGCGGAAAACCGAGCTCGCGGGGCGCGACTCCATTGGCCCAATCTTATAAATGGAATGCTGTCGTATTCACGGCATTAGATAATATGAATAGTGATACCAGCAGTGGATGTGGTAAAATACAGTCCAAAACAAACGACAGAACACGATTGGTGCATAATGCGCCGTCCCATTCAAATAAGCCCTCCCACTTCAATAGATGGTGTAGTTTCTTAGGGCGTAAAAGATGCAAAACACTACCGAACTTTTTTAGCTCGGCCACTGGAACCGTCAATTGACTGAAATGCATGAAAACCATTTTGCATTTAATAGCCGTTTTATGCACCCAAACTTAAACCAGTGACGCCATGTTCATTCTAAAGCGTTTATAAGATTGGTCCCAGCACCCGATTTTATATGAGGAAGTCGTTTAAAAAGCATCTTATCTCTAACCAATTTTTTTATTAGGCATTGTCAGCCACAGGCAAAACCCCATGACGGCTGAGGTCAAAGTAAAATATAAACACGCACACGCACACACGCACACACACAAGACACACACTATTTCATCACACCTGCCTACGCACATGCATATGCCTACCCACCACACCACTACCCACCTACCCACCACATATGCCTACCCACCCCAGCCGATAACTCGAGAACCAATAGGCGCAGCGAAACGCACGAGGCGGCAAACGAAAGAGCGCGACGAGACGCTTCAGATGAGTACTTAAAAGTTGAATTTTGAGGTCACAGGTCAGGTCAAGGTCAGGTCAAACACCGGAAATCGGGCTTTCAGTAGCATGGACTTCAGGACTTCGCAATGGGCGCCTCTCGTCATAAACTCTGTCAAAACGGTGCACAATCCATCATATAAGGTTTACAAGAGTGTCATCTCCATGTAGGGGTCAGTCAAGCATAGGTCATGTCATGGTCAAGGTCAGGTCAACCGGGTAGGCACATACCTATCCCCGAAAATCAAAACTGATATTCGCAGCCTGTGACACATGTTTTATGGGTAATTTGGAGCGTAGAACACGATGATGACATTATTTTTCTCATATGTGAACGAGTTTGGCTCAAAAAGTTCAATTTAAGAAATTCATGTATCATGGTCGTGAAGTAGTCACGAGAAATTGCGAAGATTCAGTTCAAGATTTTGGAAAATGTGGAACATTAATCAATAATCGAAGATAGCCAGTAGATTGCTCATGGTATTGGCAGTCTAATGGTGTTTACGGCATGTCTGTATATCTATTCTGTGATTTTATATGATTTTTTGAACATATGCCGTTTTTGGTCAAAAACTCAGAAATCATGACGTTACTAAAACCTCAATATCTCAAAAATTTTCCGGCCGATTTTTTTAAAACTTTGTCACAATAAACTTCTATCAATTCTCTACAGGTACCCAAAATTTGGCGCACCTTTTATGCTATGACCCGGCGAAAAAAGTGGGGGCGTTTAACGCCCCCCCCCCCCCCAGCAACTCGCGGGTTAAGCAAAAAACAAAATATATTATGCAAAGCATAGCATTAAGCATATGATTGATTGAGAGTGATATGTTGCCGTGAACTCACAGAAATGTTAGAAAAGTGCATTACAGCATATTGTGGCACTACATAGATCTATTTAACCACAATTCCAAATTTTCTCTAAATACATCTATCCTACAGCATGGAAAATACTCACCTAAAATCCCTTCCAACAAGGGTGTCCTTCTTGAATTTGGCTTCCCATATGGCAACAGCATCAACATCAGATTTCATTGCCTCACTGCTGTTGTCCTTCATCATAATACTTTAGGTTTCAAAAGGAGATGAAGAGAAATTTCAGCAAATGACTGCTATGACAGCAAGATGAGGTAATAACAACGACCAAGGTATATCACTTGATGATGCATTTCACAAACATCATGCTCATCTTGATTAATTTTGTGATGCTAGCTGAATTTCATAGGGGGTACAATTCTTGTCCGTTAGCACCTGGCGGACGAGGCTGAGGCGGACGAGACCTTGAGAAAGCACGGCCACAAAGGAGTGTCATTTGTCAAGGCCTCATTCTCTTCGATTAGCACCTCTAAGATAAAAGCTTGTGAAAATGCGAGGTTGCTGATGTAAATTTTCAGAAACGTGACAAGAAAATACGAAAAATCAACAGAAATTCAATCGCAAAACATTCCATCCACCCTCTATCACAGATAATTTTCACGTCTCGAACGTCTCGCATCCGCACAATTGGCCGCTCTGCGTAAGGCGTTTAGAAATAGGTAACTAAACTGATGCATTTTGAATCTAGCCAGCTGATCACAAATAATATTTTTGCTTCGAAATTTCGCTGCTTGTGTACAGTGTCCTTGTCCATATCGTCTATATCGACCAAGATATCGACCCAGGCCATGAAATGATGGTAACTTTATCATCCCACTCCGCCAGACAAAACGAAACTCCATCGAAAACGTTAACGGTAACACGGTTGTAACGCATTTAACAACTACGTCACTATCACCCGTTTCAAGGCGTTTCAAGGCCACAGCCCGTCACACTACTGACTGCTACTGACACCCTGGCTACTGACTACCCTTAGTTGTTTACGCCTTGTCTACGTTAGTTGTCTACGTACTTTTTGTTGTTATTTATAGCTTGATTTATAGTCACCGTGGTTTACGTATTTATTTCTATGTTGTTAACACACTGAAGCGTAGGGGATGGGCAGGCATTTGAGTGTGTTTATGTATTGGTGCACTGCGGTATCTTGATTGGTGCAGTGTCTGAGATAAATTTGCCACAACAAACTCAGGCTCAGGCGCTTGCGCTCCCTGAGTCCACGGTCATAGAATCCTGAGTCCAAGGCAGTATATACTCCTGAGTCTATAGATTGAGATGGCCTTGGGCGCTCCAGTGTAGCGAGCATCCAAGTTGTTGATGTTACCATGGAAACCCAATGCACCGATATGCATAGCAGACTGTAGTATTGTGCCATGAAACGCATGAAACAGAGCCCAGCATGTGTGCATATGTTACAGAACACTTCAAAGCATCAAAAAGCATGTTCTTCAAAGCATGTTTTGATTTATTAAGCAAAAACAGTCGGGCGCACTGTGGTATCTCCGATTCATTTATGGAAACGTTTCTATTATTGGAAACGTTTCCAATTTTGACTACTCTTCTGTTCCAAAAATGGAAACGCTCGTTCCATAAATAGATACGCTAACATCTCCGCACATATTTTCTTGCCAAGGGTGGCTGGATTCGATGTATAACAACTGTTTCGCGTAAAACAAGCTCAGATACACCAAAAGCACTTGTCTTCTTGCATGGAAAGCTGTCGTATGCATTAAAACTCACGTCTTTAAAATGCTCCTGAATCGTATCCATTTATGGAGACTTAGTTTCCAAAAATGGAAACGCCGATGTTCCAAAAATAGAAACGCTGAAGTTCAAATGTGTGCAAACTTAGCTTAAATGTGTTTTTAAAATTAACATGCAACTAAAAATTTGATGTTTTGGGACTGGTTTAGCATCTCGGCTCTCGGCAGTTACCTTGGATGTCGGGTTAGAAAATAATACCTTACGCGCCGCAACTTGAGCACATTCAAAAGTCAACTAAAACTAAGATTTCCCAGAAACTACTGGACAGATGTGGTCCAAAGTGGGCAATACATAAAGCGTAGATATCATTTCAATATATAAAATTAATATCAATGTTACACATGAGCTAGAATGAATAAATTCATCGTCAGAATACAACGGTATTTGGTGTGACGACGGTGCAGACCTTATTTCCATCCTGCTTTTTACGTATTTGCACGGAGATTTACGTTGATCCGAGCCTACGATCATATTCAGCACATTTGAAATATCATAAAATGCCCACTTAAGTCTCCAAATAGGGCTTTGCAACAACTTTCATGCGATTTAATCAAAGATTGACGACCACCAGGCCGCTGGTACACCGGAAAACGCAGCGTGAAAATGAATGAAAAACTGAAGTTCCCGGTGATGTGGTTGTTCTAATCAATGGGTCAGTCTCTCAGTAGTCTGTTAAAAACGTTATTTTTTGTTCAAAGCATTCATAAATGTTATTATTTTCGATTAGAATAACGTGTGAATTTTTTATCACGTCAACATGCTATAAGCATCGCCTCGTTCGTCAACTTTCGGTTTTCTGATCGGAAAGTCGGAGAACAGGAACATAAACTAGAATGCTGGCTGTCGATTGGTGGCATCCTGCGCATGCCAAATTGCACCAATCAATGCCCAGTTTGCCTTCAAGGTAGCGATGCATACAGCGTCTCCATTTTTGGAACAGATCGTTTCTATTTTTGGAAACGGCGTATCCATTTTTGGAACATTGTTCCAAAAATGGAAACGTTTCCATAAATGGATCGGAAATACCACAGTGTGCCCGACTGAAAAACAAAATATATTACGCAAAGCATAGCATATGTACATGTAGCCATCAAAGCATGCATATTTGATATTTATATACAATGTGGCAAAAGCACCTAAACAGTATAATGCCTGTGCATACATGCAGAACAATGCTTATAATCACATAATTTCATACTATAATGCAAAATAAGATAAAAATCTGGCATGATATAGCCTCGTTGCTGGTGCGCCCTAAAACACTGAATCATCATCAAGTGATTCAACAGACTGCTAGTGTCTCATTCAGTTGGCAGTGCACTGTTCACAAGCATATATCGCATAGTTCTTGATACGCCCTCATCTGTTCTTATGTCAAGAACATTCTAAAAGTCAAAGGCTACATCATGTAGCTCCAGACGTGGGCTCCATGGGAACTTCTCCATCTCCAAAATTCCTTGTGAATTCAGGCCCATCTTTCAGTGTGTAGCTGTCTTGTCTTGGGATTCTCCAGGTGAAATACGAAACATCCAGAAGAAATAAGACATTGACAGAGAAAACTACAGCCAAGACGTGTGAGTACTGGTCAAAGCCCCACACCTGGAGAACAGCCATCGTAATGACAAGAGAGATTATCCAGCAGGTGTTGAAGCCCAGCCAGGGCCGCATCAGAAGGCCTCTTGTCCGTCGGATCCCTATCAGAGCCACTACTCCGGCAGTGACCAGGCACGGGCAGATGATCGCCGGCATGTAGAGCGTGGCCTGCAGCCAAGGCCCCAGCTCATCAGGGGTGAAATCTAGCACAATCTCAGACTGGCACGGGTTGGTAATGTTCTCGTGCACCACGTCAGGCTCTGTTTTCTTCATGCTGTTCAACTGACAAAACTGTTCAGTTGTATATTCCGTATTGAGGAGATTTATCACGGCGTATGCAGCGAAGACCATGCCAATGACGGTGGTCAGGAGCACTTCTGTGTACATTCGCACCCTCATTGTTGTGTAGAAAAGTCGGACGCATCCTTCAATAATCCTCCCCATCACGAATATTGCCGGACACTAACACCAGTAATTAAGGGCTCGTCTTCGTCACCGTTTTAGGCTGTTTATGCTTCGTCTTCTGCTCCGTGCGCGTCAATTACTACACTACTGAGATGGTCAGTATTCTTTGTTGTTGATCAGTTAATATTGCACCATCTCCTGCCATCAATGGGTGACGCAATGTGTCGCAATAAGCTGCTCAGCAGCAACAGATGACCTATTGGCAGGAGTGAGCGCAAAGCCTGCAACCGCACCCTTCAAACACAAGTGCTTCCTAAGTGCTCCCGTCTAGCGGAAGTCACTGCGTCACGGATAAACGTACTGCGACCGTGCAAGGCTATATAACTCATAGCCGTCATCCGCGGGTGGTATTGACGGTTGTGGATACTTCGAGTTCGAGTGAGCCTCCGCTAGATGTCGTTGTCATCTCGTCTGTGCCCTTTATCGGAAAACCGCTACTAGTTGTCAAGCTAGTTAGTAGTTGCAACGAAATGCTTGAAAGGTAGAGATGACATGCATGACCGACCGTCGCAGTCGATTTTCTATCGTATGTGTTTAGAAAATACGGTGTGTACAGGGTGGAAAGTAATTACGCGAACATGTATTTTCTTACAATTTTGACCGTCAGTGGAGCATTATTATGAGTACGGGCTGTCATGGAACATAATTGGTCGTGTTTGTTGTCGCCTCATCTACCAAAAGTGACCCAACTTTGAACAATGACCTGGAAGGTCTTAAACACCTCTCGACTTAAAATGGTGCAGACACCATACGCTGCACAAGACCGAAATGGGCAAAGAGCTCAATTTGGAGCTGCCAGGGAAAGCGTTTATGATTATTTTCGCTGGATTGGCGGAGAAGGGATTCGTAGTGGTCTCAGCACCAGCATTGCACAATTATACGTTTTTTTTAACATAATAACACTTGAGAAGACTTAAAAAGCAAAGCCGTCCGCGGCAGCAACCCCTCGGCGAATTCTGCCGCCGGGCGGGTGGTCACCATGTCGGCGACAAAACGACGCCAGTCGACCCGAAAACTGGCAAAATAGCTTACTCTGGCCGGGTACCCGATCTAAGATATCACGATTCGCACATTAATACGCAAAAATTCGAAAATTAAGTCGTACAAACCCTCGGGATGACCAAAATTCACGAATTAACAGCAGAATTGTTAATTGAAGCTTTTCAAAGACAATCAAAGATGGACAGAGGAGGACAGGCAGCTGGATTTGTGGTTGGGTGAGACATCTGTGAAACTGTTTCATCCGTCAAACCTGCAGAACAACTGCTCTGAGGGCTGCTGTTGCGTCCTATGTCCCGTCCGTCCCAACCTTCAAACATCCGGCAAAGGAACACATCAGTGGGTCACGAGCCCCCGGGTGGTGTCAGAATTGCGTGTAGCGCTAAAAAAGGTCACTAAAAATAAAGTATACAACCGGTGGAACATCCTCCAAGACGAGTGTCTCTGTCTAATCCACCGTGCAACGAAAGGGGCAAAATGACTGAGCGCACTTTTGTGCCTGACGCAAAGAAACTGCTCTTCGTGATTGGTGAAATCCTTACTTTCACGGCCAACAAAACGCAATACTGGTGCTGTGAGAACCTGTTTTTCTTCAGGACATACAAAAGCTGATCTGGGAAACGCCTGGGCCTCAATTCGATTAAAAATCCCCAGATGACTCCTCAGGAGACCGTCTAAAAGCTGCAAGGAGCCACCAATACCGATTACCTCACTGGACAGCTCCATAAGGTGTGGGCTGAGCTTTGGCCAACAGATCTTCACATGCTGATGTAAATCATGCCGGAACGCCTATGTCAATGCATCGCAACTAGATAAGGATAAAGTAAAACATATATTGTTTATGTCACCGCCGTTTTTTTCATTAGGTACTAGAAGACGAAAAAGTATGTTCGCGTAATTACTTTCCACCCTGTATGTTCATGTTCATGCACTGGCGGATCCAGGCTTGCGTTTTGGGGGGGGGGGGGCAACTCATGCAGGAGCCAAACCTAGGGTACCCCCAAATCCTGTTTTCTCATCGGATTTAGGCCACTTATTTTTCGTCACAGCCCTGACACTATGATTTTTTTTTAACTAAAAAGAAAAATATATAAATGGTACATGTGTCCAGCCTGTCACGGGTAGGTATTAGGTACCTACGACAAGCTGGGTAGTGGACAATTATGTATGTAGATGACATTCCGTGCAAATCGGACAGCTTACTGCTTAGGTATTAAATCGCCAGGCAGCAACCACGCGACAACTATCGGCGATAAGGTGACCGATAGCGGCCGATAGTTTGTGTCGAGAATTCGCATCCCACTCCCGGAAACGCACTGTCTGCTCGAACATATCTAGTATCTACCCTCACGCCCTCAGCAACCTTGTGGTGGGCTTTGCTAATGATGGCTTCTCGAAGGCCAGTGAACTCAGATCAAATGATAGTATCTATTTCAAAATCATTTATGAGCTGTCCAGTTGATGCCAGCCTTTTTTCCAGGTCTCGGTCACCGAAACATGGAGAAGACAGGTCGTCAGGTTAGTACGCTATGACAAGTAGGTACAGCTAGCTGGTATGCCTATGTATAACTGGTACCCGTCCTGAAGTATTCAGTGGATGTGGACTGTACATTGTCATGAATGCAAATATGTTAGGCTGAGAATCTTCCCCAATCTCCAATGTAGGCGAGGTAGATAGTGCCCGCCTTATTCGTCATCTCCATGTGATTGCTATCCACTCACTGGCAAGGATGGATGTCTGAGTCAGCCTATAGCGGACGGTTTGGGGAATGCCCGCCCCCAGAGATCTTCAAAACTAAACGTCGCAGAGAAAAATGGCATAAGCGATTGAAAAGCTCGCCTAAATGGCAATGATTCGTCCATTTTTGATAGAGTCGACATTACGTCACTATTTATAGTGATGTCGTCGATGGCCATTGTTCATTTTCTCCACTAGGCCGATAATAGACGCGTTTACATAGGGTTTGTTGCAAGCTTATATCTCCATCCGTGATGTTGCAAAAGATGCCAATGGTGCTGATCAATTTACAAAATGATCCCCTCTAAATATTTGAAGACCACTGCATCGAAATTATCGCCAAATTAACGAGCTAGAGCCTCGTCAAATATGCTATGTAAACCGGGTTAAAATCGTACGTACGACGCCGAAACTGGCGAACTTAAGTTTCAAGATAGGATTGAAATAGCAATGGGTAGTTTATTCAAAGCCTCTTCTAAACGTTACACTGAATAACTCCGATTTTTTTGGGAACATCTTTTTAGTACCTACCTTTTAATGGTCATTTTCTTTACTTTTGAGTGAGGTAGAAATATTTTTTCAATGCAATACTTTGTTTTTAATTGCACAGATTTTACGTGTATATTGAAACTGAATCACTGATGGTGATATCTATTATTTAACCTGATGCATACAGTTCAAGCTTTGAATTGCAAATCTTGATTCATTGTTTGTTTCGCCAATTAAATATGTTTTTGCTCATTTCCCCGTAATTTTGTTGATTAAAAGTTATTTGTGTCGGGCCGCCAAAAGTGAAAAATAGTTAGTTGTGACGCGCTTACGAAGTCTCTTTTTCCCCAGCGCAAATGTGCACTATGTGGCTCCCATCATCCCAGCCTAGCGTCCCTGAAGGCCCATCTCAAGACTAAACACGACGGGGCCAAGGTATGTTGGGTGTCAAGGTACTGGGAAGTGGGGTTCATGGACATAAAAGTATGGTTTCCAGGCAGTCAAATAATTTATGCCCAGGCTCCACTAAGCGATTTTCCCGTGCGAATCTGCGATATTGCGATATCGCTTATCGCAAAAAGAAGTTCAGAATGCTGAACTTCTTTGCGATATTGCGTGGGCGATATTGCGTGACATTTCATGCGATAATGCGATTCCCGCAGTGTGACTCAGCGCATCCGTTTGCACTAGATGAACATTTTCTGGCATCGCCAAGGGCATCGCATTCTCGTATTATCGCAACATCGCAGCGTTTGTCGAAGAACCATAAGCGAAATTTGGAAGCAATGGTGACCTTGCGTAACTCTTGCCTTGGACAGTTTAATTGCAATAACTAGATCAAAATGGCCTTAAGGTATGTTCATTAGCACGATATCGTCAGAGAAATGCTGGGCTTTGCTAAGCGGTGGACGTCAGTTTTAAACAACAGAGGCAAAACAGAGGATTGTACCGAACTGCAGAGGTCAGATTCCTGCAACGGGGGAGGTCGCCAAGTGCTAGATACGGACAAATAATGTTATTTTCTTAGCACTCACAAATACATCACAAGTCGACTAGCAGTCACATGTTTGGAATATCGATTTCCATAGACCAGAAAATCTCTTGTAACCCGAAAACGCGTACCTACTATCAGTCTTGACCACACATATTTCTAGCGCTTAAGTATATTTACTATTTACCCAACTTTACTCGATAATATCAATAATGCCAACAGTGCGTGTTTTCATCTCATTAATTGCTAATCGGATACTCTTACATTCACTAATGTACGGCCCACCAGCAAAAGAGTAGTTGGTTAGCCTATGTGCTTTTGGTGTAATAACTTTAAATGACAGAGACACTCCTGTAAAATGACTCAATAGAAATGAGAAGAGGGTTCGTGCACACATTTCGGCAGTGGTTTTCAACAGCCATTAGACGTATTCATCAATGCAGATAGATTATTGTGATGTTAGCAACCAACCACTAAATACCTGGAGGGCCGTACCTATGATGGGTGTCGGGTAACCTGAACTATTCTGTTTCAGGCCTTTTCGTGCGACAAGTGCACTTACAAGGGCGTTTCCAGGGACGCCCTGAATACGCACCGGTGGAAGCATCACCAATTCTGCGAGAGATCTTACGAGAGATCGGTGAGGATCCTTACAAATGCTCGCGATTATATAGTGTTTTTTCCGAACTGATAAAATACATGGCCGGCTTATATGTATGTGGGCACTGGGCAGCTTCCAGCTTGTGTGTGCGTGCATGCAACCCGCGCAAAAAGCGGCTGTTCTCGACGAAAGTTTCAGTACTCTCGAGTTGATCAATTTTACACCTACTCTAAAAATTTCATGACTGAGTCTCTGACCCTGACCTTTGACCTGTGACCTATTTCTCGAGATCATGTTTGGCCGGAATCGGCGTACGCTGGGTGCTCAAAAAGTTGGAGGCCCAACCATGAAGGAGTTGGAATGCATCGCGGTGTGTTCAATTATGTATTGCTGAGATGTCCACTTACGTAGCCATAAACCAATCTACCTTGAGTTGTGATTAGCTCAGGCTGTTAGTTAATCGTAACATAGTTTGCCATTTTCGGCTATACGGTTCATAATACTGCAGAACAAGGCTTCAAGCGTTATTCACGAAAAGTTAGTGGCAACACATGTTGAGGTTTGTCTTTCTTACAGTAGCGTCAAAAAGTGGACATCTCTGTTCAATTTTGGTCAACAGACCATTAACCTTCCAGGCGGTAGGGGGCATGTTTGCCCCGTTTAGTTTTTTCGACATAGGTAGGTATCTCCAGAACCGCTGCACCACTTTCACTACCCTCCCGGGAGTAACTTTTACACATTGTGACCAAGCATTTTCCATAGGCTATGATAGGTTGGCCGCTAGTGACGTCATAGTGACGTCATTTCTGCCATTTTCGACCCCAAAAAAAAGGTTTCGCGGGAAGAGCTGTCAGGCCTATAGCTTTGGACATAAAAGGTGTAGAATTACCAGGGCTACTAACCTGCAATCTCGAAATGTTTATATTTTAAAATTTTGACCCCCAAAATCGTCATAGTTTTTTTAGTTTAATAGCCAAAAATCCAAAATGTTTTTCGATTTTCGAAAGTAACGGAATATATGTGATAGCCCCTACCGACCGCTATTCGCGTACCAAATTTTAGATCGATACCTCTGTATTTGGCCATGTTATAGCGAAGAAACTGTTCAAAATTGATGTCAAATTTTCAAACTCAATTTTTAGCAATACTACATAGACCACATAGCGCAAAACAAAGACCACCATTAGACTTGCCGTGACGAACTGCATCGAATCAATACCATTTTATGCAAAACTATCAGCTTTGAAATTTGACTTTTTTTACCTGATATTGAACTGACCTCCACCAGAAAGTGACTTAAACCGTACCTTACGGTCTTATATATAACCAACACCATTGAGTTGTACATGCAAGATTGGCCATAAAACATGCATCGCACAACCCTAGTGAAGTTGGGTTCATGTGCTGACTGCTGACCCTTTGTGACCTGACCTATGACCTGACGTGGTATTATCAATGACCTCTTATAGCAACATATGTACTAGCCACCAGGCAACTTGCGCCCTATCGTTGATTTTCAACAAAATGCGTTTTACTCGATGTTATAGCGCATTCCTTAGAAGACCCGTGAACGGTGAAACATTTTATGTTTGACCTGACCTGTGACGTCATCGGTGACCCCGAGGTCAATGAAATTGGAGTTCTCTCGACAAATTTGACAGGGCTATCGAACGTCGTTTGAATTTTATGGATCCGTCTAGTAGTTTCGGAGATACGGGGGGGGGGGGCAAAAAATGCCCTCCCCCACGGCGCGGAAGGTGGCCGGGAAGCCCACCGCCTGCCGGGTTAAAGGTGACCTCCGCAGTGTGCAAGCCATCAACAGCATTGACTCAAAATATGAAAAAATAAGTACTTTTTTACGCAACTGAAGCGCAGGTGTCTATTGGATTCCTAAAAGCCATTCTTCATTGGCATCCCGCGCTCGTTGGGGTCTGCCGAGCAACGCGCCCCGTCGGGGGGGGGGGGCATTTTGGCACCCCCTAAGATCTCGAGAACCACGCAACATAGCGACAAGCAGAAAACGGTGTTGGATAGCCCCAACGGGAAACTACCTTGTGACCCAATTTCATTGACTTTGGTCAAACCGATGACGTCACAGGTCAGGTCGAATGTCGAATTTTCACCGTTTACAGACATTTCAAGAAATGCGTTGTAAAATCGAGTAAAATGCATGTCATTGAAAATCATCGATGGGGAATTGTTCGTCAGACACATGTTTTGCTATTTGAGGTCACTGATACCAGGTCAGGTCACAGAGGTCAGGTCACTGAGGGTCATTAATATGAAAATATGTGATGCATGTTTTACCTATAGTCCATTTTACATGGCAAATGCGATTATGTGGGCCAGGCAACCTTTTGGGACAGTTTGAATTATGTTCTGGTGAAGGTCAGGTCAAGGTCAGGTCAAATGAGGTCAAATTTCAAACTTGATATTTTTGCACAAAATGGGTATCAACTAATCAATTCGATGCAGCTCGTGACGGGGAATCCAAGGGTGGTCTTTGTTTTGCGCTACGTGTCTAGAATTGCTAAAATTTGTGTTCAATCAATTTTTTCAATTCAAATTTTCAATTCAAATTTGACGGCATCAATTTTCAACAGTTTTTTCGCTATAACCTGGCCAAAAAAGGAGATATCGATCTACAATTTTTTATGTTGATAGAATAGCGCAGGGAATATCATATATATTCCTTTTTACAAAATTCTAAAAACTTTTGGGTTTTTATTGCGTTTTTGTAAAAAAATGATGTTTTTTTAATTTTGTGGGGTCATAATCACACAATTTTGAATATCCGAGTTAACAGTTTTTGTAGCGCCGTCTTTTCTCTACACGACCACATAAATAACTTTGAAATTGCTTGTTAACTGTAACTTTTGTAAGTGCTTCAAGATTTCATGTTTTTTGCCCATTTTTGCTCGAAAATGACCTCAGTTTCCCCAACATAAGGAAATTGCTTAGCAGTCGCGGCTTCGCCGGCAGCCGGGCGACCAAAGTAGCCGTCTCGGACGTGCCGGATGGGTTCAAAACCCATTTGAGGAGGCCCTGAGGGCTTAAGCGAAGCGCTGCGAGAAGTGTGTTTGTCCTGACGGTAGCTATCTGGATAAGTGAACAGTTTTTGGTCTAATAAGTCGACGTCGTATCTCTGCTACTTCATGGTCGGGCCGAGAACTTTGTTAACGCGCCAGGTATGTCAGCTCACATTATCCGCGCATTTCCAGTCTTTATGTGATTGTAAACGTTCAAACGTTTGAAATGATGTTGGTTCCATGCATTACGGTGGGTGTCAACTGTCGTCAAGGCCACTTATTTAGCTTTACCCGTTTCTATGGAAGTTTTTGGAGCTCATTTTGAATAACCATCCATTTTTGAACATATACGAAGTAGTTTTAGGGCCTTCGTAACATGTTACGACGCCGTCAGTGGTTGTTGACACCTGCTAGGTATGTTATGGATAGCGGCGGCAGAACGCCTACTGGTTGACCTGACCTGATCTGACCCGACTCGGTCTAAATGCATGAAAACATCTGTGATCAAAACTTACATAAAATACGTGATCAGTACCCCCCCCCCCCCCCAAAAAAAAAAACAAAACAAAACAAACATAACAGCTTCACTTTACGAAGTTCTAGCAGGTTCCGATTTTCCCGACTATTAGGTCATTGACCTGACCTGGAAGGTCAACCAATGGCCTAGGACCTTTAACCCTCGCCCGTATTGGTGTTTTTCCAGCCACGAACGTATAGGGGGTCCGTTGGACCCCACTTTCTGTTTCACCCCTGATCGAGCTAGAGCTTCGCGGAAAAAACGAGCGTGTTGCCCGTGACGAGAGGAAACCGATGATGCCCAATTTTAAGGTCCTAGGTCATCGGTTGACCTTCCAGGTCAGGCCAATGACCCAAAAGTCGGGAAAACCGGGACCTGTTAGAACGCCGTAAAACGTGGCTGCTATGGGGTTTTTCGGGGTGCTGAATCTGTTCACGAACATCGTGTTAGTTATGATCATAGATAATGTCTTCATGCATTTAGGCCAGGTCAGGTCAGGTCAACCAGTAAGGGTTTTTCCGGGTATTCGTAGTAGGTGGCAACCGCCTCTGACAGCTTCGTATTATGTTACGAAGGCACCGAAACTAATTCGTAAATGTTCAAATGGTTGCTAAATTCGAATTCAGCTCGAAAAACTAGCCACGAAATTATGTAAAACTCGAAAGAGTGAACCGAGGTCATCAAAGGCCAATGACCTGACCTGACCTTCCGGTAACCTTGACACCCATCCTAATGCATGGGAGCATTACATACTATATCCCATGTTTGAACGCTTGAAACCACGAAGAGACTGCAAACGCGCGGCTAATGCGAGCCGACATCCGCCGAATCGCGATTCCGGCCAAACATGGTCTCGAAAAGTAGGTCACAGGTCAAAGGTCATTAGGGTCAGGGTCACGAAATTTTCAGGGTAGATGTAAAATTGATTAGCGCGAGGGTACTGAAAGTTTCGTCGCGATCGGCCGCGTTTTACGCGAGTGTCAAACCGAGAGAGGTCCTTTAGACCTCCCCCTCCCCTATAGGGGCGAGGGTTAACACTTAACCCTCGCCGGACCTATTGGTTTTCTACATACGCGCCGGCCGAGGGGTGGGGGGCGGGTACGACCCCCCCTCGCCGTTTCGCCCCTGGTGGAGCTAGCGCGTTGCGGAAAAAATGAGCGTGTGCGCCGTTACGAGACGCAGAGATTGGTACCCGATTTTAAGGTCCTAGGTCAACCGGTGACCTCTGAGGTCAGGTCAAGTGCCCCAAGGTACGGTTCAGTTTTTGGTGAATAACTTCGCAAAAAACGGCCGCAGAGCTGCGATTTTGGCAGCATCGTGTTCGCCTCGCTCAGGCGCGTCGAATAATATACTTTTTGTTCGGGTCAGGTCAACTTCGGGTGTTGACCTCAGGTCAAGGTCAGGTCAGCACCCCCAGGTCACGAAGTTGGTCGAAAGAGGTCATGTCGCATATCATTCGATTCGGCAGGTCTTCCTGAGTCCATTGGTGGCTTTCCCGAGTCGCTAGCTCAATTTGATCAAGAGTTATTGACGAAAAACTAATATGACCTTGATGACGTCATAAATGACGTCACGCAAGGTCAACATTGCAAAAGTGACGCATCTAACCTTGCAAGGAGTGCATCAAATCACGATTCTGTGTGCTTGAGATAGTTGGAGATCGTTCCCGGCGCCAGAATAGCAGTTTTCATTTTTCCCCGTTGACTTATAACGGTGAGGTCACGAAAATGACCTGACCTCATATGACCTTTAGGAAAAATCTGAGACATACAAGTTGTGAGACTCATAATGGATACTAGATCCTGCAAGTTTCATTTCCCTGTGACATCTCCTCTGGCAGTGAGGGCGTTGCGAAGTTGCGACATCTGAAGACCGTGCAGAGGTTCACTTATGACGTCATAGGTCAGTGACCTGACCTGACCCAAAAATGCGGTTGGTGTCAAAAGATCCGGCTTGGATCAAAGGTCAGGTATGCCAAGTTTCAGCTCTCTATCGCCAGCGTGTTCGGAGCTATCGCGAAAAAAACCGTATGGGGGGCGGATGCCCCCCCCCCCCCTCGGCCGGCGAGGGTTAAGTTGGGTATCATCGGCATCCTCTTGTCACGGGCAACACGTTCGTTTTTTCCGCGAAGTTCTAGCTCGATCAGGGGCCGAACGGCAGAGTGTCCAACGGACCCCCCCCATCCCCCCAGTACGTTACACGCTGGCATAGGTAACACCAATACGGGCAAGGGCAGTAGGGCTACAATTTTGGGTATTATCGACTTCCTCCTGTCACGGGCTACACGCTCGTTTTTCCGCTAAGCTCTAGCTCGACCAGGGGACGAACGGTAAGGGGAGTCCCCACCCCCACCCCCCTCCCCCCTATACGTTAGCAAGTGGGGAAAAACCAATACGGGCGAGGGTATTGGTCCCAATGGACGATGCTACGGCTTATAGCACTGATTTATGATAATGAATATTTTCTTAAGTAAATTGGGCATCTGCGTTGCCCTTCTGATGGTTTGCACAAATGTCCGTCGGCAGAAATGTCTGGAGTCTACCCTGGTGGCCGGTGTGGAGACTGCGTGCACGGCCGCCGTCCCGAACAGCAGTCGGCTGCGGACCCACCTGGCGTCGGAGCACGGCATCTCGGACGCGCTGAGCTCCGAGACGGTCCGGCTGGACGCGGCTGAAGGCAGGTGACTCGCCTCTGCGCCGCTGGCCGGGCCGCGTCCCCAGCTGGACACACTGGGCAGCGCTGGGCGGTCTGAAGGGCATCCCACTATACGAGGGGTATCGAAAAAATTCTGATCACCATGAATTAAGTAGATGTGACAGAAATTTGATTTTTTACATGATGTTCCTTACTCCGTCACAAGTCACCACACACGACTGCAAACTTCTTGCATCGTTACTTGAGCTGCCTCAGGCCGTCAGTGTGGGACCTTCACATTGTCCCGTAAATCACTCATCAATGACGTCATTTCTGTCTTTAAATCACTGGACGCACTGTGGGTTCTCCATCTCCCGACTCCCGCAACAATCCAGAGTCACTTAATATCAGGCCAGGTGAATTCGTTAGATCGTGCAGATCTCAGCCCCCTCGTTGTACATGCAAGATTGTGTCAATAAAAAACATATACTTTAAAAAATCGCTTATTAATACTTCTTACCATCCCTTGCAATGCAACAATCTCTTTCAACGGTAACTCCATGCCACGTTAAGAGGAACAGTAGACAGAGGCTATATGGGGCCAGAATTTCATAGGTTTTGTTTCAGTTTGACAGGGATTATGATGCAAGGAATCGGTCAGGCGGCCGCCTGCTTTGCGCTATATGGAGGGAAACTCTTAAAAGGTTTTTGGCGGGTCTAATGAATCTCGATATTTTTTCATCGTCCAAATTTTCCAGCTTTCTTGTCATGGAAGAAGATGTATGAGGCGAAGACGTCATCCTCATACGTGGGCAGATGCAAGACGCCTACAGCCGATCACCCGTCTGTTCTCTTCAAATGCTTCCGCTCCGGCTTCCACAAGCCCTCAGGGAAGGGGCTCCGAAGACTGAAATCGCAAGGCTCGTGCAAAATGGGCCGCGATTGCACCTCCGAGATACGCGCCAGGCTGGAGGAGGACGGCTCCATCAGGGCAACTGTCTTCCACTTTCATTATGGCCACGGGACCGGATCGGACGGCGCTGCCCATCTGCGGATTCCGAAAGAGGACAAGGCATTGATAAAAGGTATGTGAAATAGTACTGGCCGCACGCTTGTCCGCTCTCTAAAAAATAATCATGATGATAAACTGGATCGAAATAGCTGAATGATGTATGTATATTGTATTTGTGTATTGATATTATGCGGCATTGATATTAAAAATATGAAAACCCATTGTACAATGTACCTCCATGCGTAATCCTATAAAAGTAAAGTACTTGTCATTTTTAGAGAAACTGCTGAAAGGCGTCGGCGCGACCCGCATCATCTCCGACGTGCGGCGCTCGCTGGAGGCCTGCGGTGATCCCCGCTCCAGCCGTACCTACTGGGTCAATAAAAAGGACGTAAACAACATCGCTGCCTCTTTGGGACTGAACGCGTCGGGAGCGCACCCGGGGAGCGCGACTGAGACGACCAGCGTGGAAACATACGCGGAAAAGATCCGCGCGTCGGAGCAGGTGAGCACACACAGTTGATAAGTATCTGTTTATGTAAATGTGGGCGTGGTGTTAACGCGGGACGTGCATGTTCGCCGTCGAACAGCTTGCAGTTTGCACATAATGTTCACCAGCTGGATCAGAGGTTTTTGTTAACGATGCATTAGATATACGGTCCTAACATAACAACTATAATGTTAACATTAAGATATGCTGAAAAAATATTTTGGTCTCAATTTCAAACCAGCTTGTGAAATTGTCTCCGTTTATGAAGAAGTTTCAATATCCATATACGCTTGAAAAGATGCGCCGAAGTCCTGGATATTAACAGAAGTAATGCCATGTCTTTCAGCAACATCTGTTGGCCCTGAAAATGCCCGGTGAAGCCGACCCCGATGGCCGTCTGGGACGTGAAGATTTCATCTTCTCGTTCTGCACGGAATTCCAGCTCAGGAACTTCATCAAGCATGGCTGCGGCACCGTCTGCATCGATGAGACGCGAGGGACAAGTGGTAAGCGTCTAGTAGTGGTACAGTCAAGTAGGCAAATAATGTCCCCAACTTTTAGCGCGTTAAAGGTAGTGTGCCAGCTTTCCTGGACCATATGGAGTTAATGACCCGGATAAGGAGAACCGGATTTTTAGAACTTATCCATACCTTCAAAACTCATGGAAACGTCTTAAATTCTTCAAATTTTGAGTACCCCAGTGCGAAATTCGCCCCGACGGGTTGTCGGTCGTACCCCAACCACATTTCACACCACTATGAACAATAAATGCACACACTAAAATCGCTATTACCGATAGGCTCATCCAATCAAGTTTCGATAAACCCGTTCATCATCATCTCCTGCAGTTTCGAACACGCCTGTTAGGTGGTTTCTGGTGCTCGTCGAGGTCGGAATTTCCCAATATGCTGCTCACACTTTGTGGTGCGGTGGTGGTGCGTCGGGCCGCGCGCTCTGACTTCGGCCAAGAAAAATGCGTCAGCTGATCATTGTCATTTCTGCCACTTGCTTGTGGTGAAATGGGGTCATAACTTAAGAGACGGCTGTTTCATATCAATTATTTTACATAAAATCATATTTCAAACCATAAATTAATGTTCGACAGCCAAATTAAAGAAACAATACCAATACAGGCTTACAGTTTAAGTTCGACATTGTGTTGTCTACGATTAGACAGCTGATAACTCATTCCCGTACGTCGTAACTCTATAATGACCTTTGCTTATTGTCACATGTGCGCCGCATTCGCGATTGTTGCCGACGCCTGCTTGCAGGTCAGCCCACTATAGTTGTTATACATATCGAAAAACCGATAAACTTTTAGGCGAAAAAGTCACTATTCCAGGCCCATTTTTGATTTTTTTTGCGATATAAGGTAAAAACAGAAGCTTCTTATCCTAGGAAAAATAAAATGGGAAATCATTGGGAGGTGGCACACTACCTTTAAAGTTTCGCCAGTTTTAGTAAATGTTGTTCTATGCCTTTCTGAATTATGTTACCCATTGTGAGCAGAATCCGTTCTCCAGATGGACCCGCACTGGAAACAGCTCCCATCTCTTTCTCCCATTGCTTGTCATCCGCTTTCGCGGCGCTGCTGCTCTCTGAGCATTCATTTTCTCCCTTTAATACGAATGTTTTGTGGCGGAGGGTGTGTTTGATTTTCACAGAACACGGATTCAACCTGGTGACGCTGCTGGTCCTCACCGACCAAGGCCAGGGTCTACCGGTCGCCTGGCTGCTCTCCAGTCGCGAAGACGAGGAAGCCGTCGCTAAGATGCTGCAAGGGCTGATTCAGCTCTGTGCTGAGACAGGCCGTGAGTTTCCACACGCGGAGTACCTGATGACGGGTAAAACCCAGACGTTGTTCAACGCCTGGATCGCCACGACCGGCCAAGACACCCAACATCGCCTGCGCTTGTGGCAAGTGAACAAGGCTTGGCGTGACAGGCTCGTCACGCTCAGTGTAAGTTTACAATTGTGGGAAGGGAAACCATGACTACTTTTATTATTTGTAATATAGATGTGAACTTTACCAGCGTCCAGCCCCACAATCAAAGTATATGATGGTTTTTGAGTTTCTTACGTAATTTGCCGCAACGCTGCGGTATGATTACATGTGCCGATGCCTACTAAACCATTTATGAGAGCTGACACGTGTTTTCTCTCCGCAGCAAAGCTTCACTGACAGCGGAGAGATGACGGCATCTGGCCTACGTCACCAGCCTTCCAACCAATCACGGTGAGAGGGACTCTGAGGGAAACAGCGCATCGGCTGTCAAAACGGGCTCTGTATCAGCATTATTATCATGTTTTGCGTAAATATATAAGGTCAACAGGGATCAGGGAGCGTGCACCCGGATAAACTCCTATAGTTAGTAGATCTTCTTGAACGTTTAAGGTTCGATCGACTCCGTTGTCTCGCCGTGCCTGACTGGAAGGCTGTTAACCCTGACCGCATCTACCATGATTCACAGGTGTATCGGAGCGCTACTGGAGTTTGCCGACGAGCAGCTGCTGAAGGCGGGCCGCCGGCAGCTGTGGCAGCAGCCCGGCTTCAACCAGGTCAAGATGCGGCGCCGCCACAACGCCGCCGCGCGGCTCTCCGCCGAGACGGGGGCGACGGTCTTCAGGATCAATGACAATCCACTTCCTGCCTGGGTCGTAAGGTCGAAGCCTGATGACCCCTATGGCGAGCCACATACAGTGGAGCTGGTGGACCAGACGTGCCCACTGTCAACGCAGTGCCGGCAGCGGTGCGAAGCGTGCAACATCTGCGGGCACATGATGCGATGCGACTGCCGTGAGTGGCTTGGCCAGAAGCAGATCTGTGAGCACGCCCATCTGGTCGCTCTGCAGGACAAGTTCGTCACCGTGCATCTGCTGCCAGCCGGGGAGCAGTCGCCGCAGACGGATTGGGGTGACGATGCCGCCGACTCGCCGCCGACAGAGCAGTCTCTGCCTCCACCGTCCGCGGGTAGTTCACTCAGTGACGCCTCGCCGGCCTACCTGATGGCCAAGGCTAAGGAGTTTGCCGAGCTTATGCCCACCCTGCCCCTTACGATCCGAGAACAGATTGCACATCATTTTCGCCAGCTGGATGAGCTGGTATCGCTGGGAGCCATCCACCAGGCTGACGCGCTGGCGGTGGAGGAGGATCGGCGTGCATGGAGTGCGCGCACCGAGCGACAGCCGTCCGACCGAGGGGTCGGCGTGGCTGATACCGCCGCCCATCTGCGCCCCGGCGCTGCGGCTCGGACCAGCGCCGAACGGACTGGAAACGACAGGAGTAGAGAGGCTGACATCTTTCCTCCGGATCATGACTATTTATAAGGAAGTGTTGGCGCCTGAATGTGGCGATTCAAGTCCACCATCATCATTTTGGGTTGCGTTAAGCGGGACGAGGTGTGGACAATGAACATGGCCCTTGCTAAGCGGGAGAGATGAGATTTGTCTGGACGACTACGATTAGTGTTCCAAACTTAACTTACGACGGGCTTTCAGCACGATTGTTAAAACCATGTGCCCTGTTCGCGAGTTGTGATGCCTTATGTTGTGCATTGAGGGGCTTACAAGCGTTTCCGTCACTGACCGGTTCGTACGTGCCGACGTTTTGGTTGGCGTTGTGGCTCAACTGGTGAGATATGCGCCCATGTGTCCGTCGTATGTAATTGTGTACCTAGATCTCGCCGTGCACTGAGATCACTTGGCCAATGAGTGATGATGGATCAATACAGAGTTCTCACTCTGCCTTTTATTTGTTTATGCGCTGGTAACCAACGTACAGTCAGTCTTGAAAGTACCGTGCATCGGTGCGATGGATCCAGCAAGCCCGACTGAGGAAGGACTGCTAAATTTGAGAGGCAGTGAACCATTTGACATCCTCATCCATCCCCCAGGTCCAGTGACGTACCCAAGGGGGGGGCCACGGGGGCCAAGGCCCCCCCCTGAGCGCCGAAGGCGCTCAGGGGGCCCCTCAGGCCCCAGGATATTTTTTTTTAAACACTGGATAAAACGTCTTTTACTCGGAAGAAAAATTGATATTAAAGTTTCATTCATGTGCCCCGGGTACCCGAGGGGCCCCTGCAGTCATCCAAGGGCCCCCAGTTTCCTGGGCCCCTGGTCGCCTAGGGGGCCTCTGGTAGCCGGGGGCCTGGTCTCATGGGGGCCCCTGATAGCCTGTGGCCCCTAGTCGCCTAGGGGGCCCTGGTCGCATGGGGGGCCTCTGGTCGCATGAGGCCCCTGATCGACTGGGGGCCCCTAGTTGCCTAGGGGGCCCTGATAGCCCGGGGCCTGGTCGTATGGGCCCCTGATAGTCTGTGGCCCCTAGTCGCCTAGGGGGCCCTAGTCGCATGGGGGGCCTCTGGTTGCATGATATTGAGGCCCCTGATCGCCTGGGGGTACCTAGTCGCCCAGGGGGCCCCTGGTATCCGGGGGCCTGGTCGCATGGGGGCCCCTGGTTGCCTGGGCCCCCGGTCGCCCCTAGTCGCCTGGGGGACCCTGGTCGCCTTGGGCCCCTGGTAGCCTGGGATCCCCTGGTCGCCTGGGGGCCCCTGATCGCCTGAGGGCCGCTGGTCACCTAGAGGGCCCCTGGTCGCCTGGGGGCCCCTGGTCGCATGGGGGCCCCCTGGGGGCCCCTGATCGCTTTGGGGACCTGATCGCATTGGCCCTTGGTCGCCTGGAGGGCCCTGGTCGCCTGGGGCAGTGGGGCCCCTAGTCATCTGGAGGACCTGGTCGCCTGGGAACCCCTGGTCGACTGGGGGCCCCTGGTCGTCTGAAAGTACGCTTATCACCTGATTGATCCCAAATCATCTGAGTGGCTACTGGCTACTGGATATAAGTAGTGACTGGAGTAGGCACTCATCTGAAGGAGCCAATATCTTTCACGGTGCCGGAGATATCACAGAAAAACAAAAAGGCTAAACTGAATACCCCCAACCTTGGCCCCAAAGGCGTCATTGGCTAACACAGGGATGTGGGTCGATTTGCAATCGCATTTCCTCCTAAGTCCCATTCCTCCAATTAATACAGAGTGTCCCAGAGGTCAGAATTACCCAAACATTTATTTTCTGGCTAAAAGTACAATTGCGCTCGATTCCTAGTGAAACATATAATAGCCGCGTTTACATAGGGCTAGTTGCCAGATAGTGGAATTCCGATAACGAGACATTTATTCCCCACTATTATATTATATACCTACATATCCGGAATTGGAGGATGTTCAATAATTGAGGCGCTCGCTCATAAAATGCCGTGCGTTTCATGCACACTCCTCAAGCAAAAATATTTTTACTTTCCAATTTTCCACATTTTCTCAAGGCTTAGACCGTTACAGAGACCGTTTTAATTGACTTTGATGAAGTTAAACGCGAGAAATCACAACCAAATGCTACATTAGGTTGTAAAGAACTGAATTGCGTTTTCCCACACACGTGGCGTTTTCTCACCTACGTCTGCAGGAGAGACCGGACCCACTATGCCCCCCCCCCCACCATCGAAAGGTTCTTCATGACTCCCGGGGGCCCCCGGGGAACCTGGGGGGCCCTATACACTGTGGGGGGCCCCTTCGAAAGCAGGTGGCCCCCTCCTGGGCGAAATCCTGGGTACGTGCCTGCCCAGGTCAAAAGGTTCAGTGACTGAAATTTGGCAGCCCTTCCTCATGAGTCGGGGGCTTGATGAATCCACTGCCCGATGCGCGGCACTTCCAAGACTGACTCTGCCCCCTTAAAGGGACACTCCCACCTTAACATTAGTTTTGAGTTGAGATAGCCAAATTGGTGGCCATGGCCTGCAAATACCGGTTTGGGCACTCACAACATCGAAAAATGCTTTAATTCGAAGATATGGAATTTCAAACTTGCAGTTTTCGGATTCTAAGGGGCTAATGCATTGGAATGCCCCCTTAGAATTTGTGACGTCAGCGGAGATCTAACGATTTTTAAATCTTAGACTAAAACCATCGTTAACACGTGGTGGTATACGCTGCTTTGCGCGCAACGTCTGCCGCACTTTAAGGCTGCCAAATTATTGCTTCCAAATAAAGTCGCTAGTAACAGGAGAGATCCCAAAAAGTAAACAAAAGTAAAAGCCTAATATCTTGAAAACCAGTGAATATTTTTCGGTGAAATTTGGTAGATATTCGTTTTCGCTCTTTCTGAACCAAGGGACATCACTTTCATGCCAATTCATTAACTTTTTTGAAGGTGGGAGGGTCCCTTTAAAGGAAATAGTTCACTTTCACAAAATTATTTTTTTGCAATGGATTTATGATTTTTTATGTTCAAAATGATCAGCAAAGAAAATAAAACCTATTTATAACAAAAGATTATTTTCTATATTTTGATATAGGAAGGACTTTTCAGTTTCTGTAAGGCACAGGCGATCCAGTATGAAAAGAGCATGGGTCCCGAAAATTCTTCAGAAACTAGAGAAATTATCGCGGCCACCGGCATTTGGGTGATCTGCTGCTGCTGAATGTCCTTATTGATCAGTACGAGAATTTCTCTAGAGTTCTCGTAGATAATTTCTCTAGTTTCTGAAGAATTTTCGGTACCCATGCTCTTTTCATACTGGATGTGAATATATGCAAGGCACACATCCTCAACGCAAGACACCTTTTTCGGGACGAGAAATAGAATATCTTTGCCTAGGGTGATCGTTGGGCTGTAAAAGCTCCTGATTTATGCTCGTCTCAGCCCAGGCTACGGAACTGCTATTCCAGTTCAAAACCCATGTTAAAAAGTGAACTATTTCCTTTAAAGGGACCCTCCCACCTTCAAAAAAGTTTATGAATTGGCATTAAAGTGATGTCGCTCGGTTCAGAAAGAGCGAAAACGAATACCTACCAAATTTCACCGAAAAATATTCACCGGTTTTCAAGATATTAGACTTTTACTTTTGTTTACTTTTTTGGATCTCCGCTGTTTCTAGCGACTTTATTTTAGAAGTGCGGCGTTTGCGGCAGATGTTGCGCGCAAATAGCATATACCACCGCGTGCTACAAAACGTTTTAGTCAAACATTTAAAAATCGTTAGATATTTGCGCTGACGTCACACATTCAGAGGGGTATTCCTAAGCATTAGCCCCTCTGAATCAAAATGCTGCAATTTTGAAATTCAATATTTCCGATTTAAGGCATTTCTCGATGTTGTGAGTGCCGAAACCGGTAATTGTGAGCCAGGGACCCCATTTTGGCTATCTCAACTCAAATCTAATGTTAAGGTGGGAGGGTCCCTTTAAGTAGCCGCTACTCCCACGCAGATCGTCACGTGCCACCTTTGTATTCCAGCACAGCGGCCCAAATAGGTCACCAAGTTACGATAGTGACCTTACCACAGTAAAAGTAACGGCTCTCCCTTATGACTCTGAATGAGGGAACGACTCCTTAGGAACCTTGTGGCAAAGCTAGCATAGAGCGTGAAACCCAACCGCAGTTGGCAAGTGTCGTGCGATGACCTAAGATCATTTGTGTGGCTTATGTCGAAAATATCTACATTGCGCAGCGGTTTTCGAGTGTAAGGATCGGCCGAATTCCAAGTCAAAGCGTACCATCGGGTGGCTCGTAAGCTGTAGTAAACATTCGTGTAAACTGGAAACCTCTTCTCAATATGCAACCCCGTTGGATCTCCAGAGCATATTTTAAGGGAATTTGACTAGGGGCAACCTGGAAAATTGTCTTTAATAATCCATTAACCCTCGCCCGTATTGGTGTTTTCCAACTGCGAACGTATATGGGGGGTGGAGGGGGGGGGTCCGTTGGACCCTCCCCCCTTGCCGTGTCGCCCCTGATCGAGCTAGAGCTTCGCGGAAAAAAACGACCGTATTGCCCGTGATGAAAGGAAGCCGATGATACCCAATTTTAAGGTCCTAGGTCATCGGTTGACCTTCCAGGTCAGGTCAATGACCCAAACGTCGGGAAAATCGGAACCTGTTAGAGTGTCGTAAAGGGTGGCTGCTATGGTTTTTTTCGGGGTGCTGATCACGAATATCATGTTAGTTATGATCATAGATGATGTCTTCATGCATTTAGGCCAGGTCAGGTCAGGTCAACCAGTAAGGGTTTTGCCGGGTATTCGTAGTAGGTGGCAACCGCCTCTGACAGTTTCGTAACATGTTACGAAGGCACCAAAAGTACTTCGTAAACGATCAAATGGTTGCTAAATTCGAATTCAACTAAAAAAACTAGTCTAGAAAGTAGAAACATAAAACTCGAAAATGTGCACCGAGGTCATCAAAGGTAAATTACCTGACCTGACCTTCCGGTGACCTTGACACCCACCCTAATGCATGGAAGCAACATCATATCCCATGTTTGAACGTTTGAAACCACGAAAAGACTGCAAACGCGCGGCTAATGCGAGGCGACATACGCCGAATCGCGATCCCGGCCAAACATGGTGCCATGGTGCTAGGCCGCCGGTGCATCTGAAAGAACTGTGGTGCCCCTGACAGGCCTGAAGTTCCAACGACAGGCCCGTGGTTTATAGTGGGCAAATCTCGACGACTGGGGGGGGGCAATCCTGTTGAGTGCGGGGGCATTTGCCCCCCCCCCCCCCAGTTAACATGTTAGAATAGGCTCTGGGTCAGGTCAACCAGTAGGGGTCGTGACGGGTATTCGTAGTAGGTGTCAAACGCCTCTGACAGCTTCGTAACATGTTACGAAGGCACCAAACTACTTCGTAAATGTTTAAATGGTTTCTACAGGGTGTTTCACTAAAAGTGTCAAAAAGTAAATGCTTATTAAAGATATATAGAAT